GGCTGCTCAGCACCACCAGTCAAGACATCAAACACAGAGAGAGAGAGAGAGAGAGAGAGAGAGAGAAGGGAAAACTGTACATTCAGGCTGCCACACTGTTCTCAACTGCACATCAGAGTGAGCTTTTTCAGGCAGTTTTGTATGAACACAGTATTTTTACAGCTCTCTTAAAGCAGCTGCCAGTAACCATTTTCCCTCAAAATAACAGCTTCAAATTCATTTTGAAGGTACACTGACTTGGAGAGAATGGTGTCTCTGTTGTTGTCATTCTGGGCCGGATCACCTGCTATAGCACTATGTAACTTTGGAGGAGCGGCACAAAACCTCTCACGAGAGCTGCACTTTACAGCACCACCTCACACATCACTGCTCAGCTAGCTATAAGAAGGAGCTAGTTCGGTATTCCAAGCATGGACACCATAGCAGAGGCTGCCAAAAGACAGAAGACGACATTCTGGGAGGAAGCAATGAAGGAAAAAAGTGGGAAAGACTGAGCTAGAGGAAATCTTAGAGTGGCTTTTACTCGTTGGCAAGAGCTAAAAAAAAAAATTAGAGGGGCTCACCAGAGAACTTGTAGAGAGGAGAATTAATGCTCTGTAATGTCTTCCGGGTTTCTCAAACGTTAGAGGGCGCTCCCGAACGAGTGAATTGGTTAAGATGAAGCATTTGAGCAAAATCATAGTTTATAAAAAACATTTTTAACGTAAAATAAAATATTAATTTCCTGAACAGCAACATTTAAACACTGCTGTTATATTTTTGAATGTTTTAAACTCAAGTTATAGGAGTTCAAAACGGCGCCTCATGTACGTCCATGACATCTGTGAGCACGAACAGCCAGTGAGCTGCTATGCTCGCCAACCAATCAGCACTCAGTAGCAGTAATGCTAGCACCCTACTGCCCAAAACCTGCTGTAAAAAAAGTGGGTAAGTGATCAGAAACTATTCTATACTATCTATAAACTTGTAGTTTTTAGCTGTTCAGCTCCATTCACTGATGACTCACTCGCGGATGGCCTCTGGCGTTTTGCAGTCATGTTTTTGATATAACAGGGGAAATAGGAAGAGGCCAGGCTCCTCATCAACCGACTCTGGGGGCTTCCAGCACGATCTGTATTTATGACTGAGTGTGTTTACATGAACTCAATAATCCGATCATAATCGGATTTCTGCAGTTATCTGATTATTCAATTGTTCATGTAAACAGCACACTCCGATCTAGAAATCTGATTAAGAGTCTGATAAAGAGAGCAGTAATCAGCTTTCTCAGGGCATGTGAACTCTTACTCTGATTTCTTTCGGATTTCTCAGTCTGCGCATGTGCAAAACTAGACTGCTGTACCGGAAACGCAGCAAAACACTAGAGCTGCGCTGAAACCAAACACGAAATAAAGGCTTTAAATAATGTTCATCTTCTAGATGATGTACGTTCATATTTTCAGGTAAAGTGATGCAAATGTTTTAAAAAGCTACAGCATGAAATTTTACGTTACGTTTACATCACGTCTTCTGTGAGTTTATTGGCTGGTTGCACATCAGAAATCCGATTGCTGTCTGACTCTTATAGACCCGGAATTTCCCCATTATCTGATTACTCAAGAGCATGTAAACATTTTGATTGGATTACTGATAAAATCTGATTTTCTGCAGTTATCGGATTATTAGGTGCCTGTAAACGCACTCAGTGTTGTCAAAGTGAAATACATTCTCTGACTGTAGGGGGCACCCTAGAGCAAGAAATCACAAATAACATAATATTGCTTAAATATTCCTGCTTCAGTGTACAGCTAAAGAAATCACACTTTTCCACTGTAGATGATCTACAGCTACTTACATTTTCAACTTTGTGGTGGATACTCAGTTGATTATCAATGACAACAAGATCTTCAAGGGTTCTTTAGTAAAGACAACGGTTCTATGTAGAACCATGAACACTCAAAGAACCATTTGCGTGCTTAAAGCGTTCTTCAGACTGACGGAGAATGTGTTGTATATGGCTCTGTTTAGAACGTTTTTGAAAATGGTTCTATATTGCACCAAAAAGCGTTCTGCTATTGTTATGATGTCAACCTTGTAACAATACAGGAACTCTTTTCGGTGCTATACAGAATATCTACAACACATTCTCCATCAATCTGAAGAACCATTTAAGCAAGCAAATTCTTTGAGTGTTCATGGTTCAATATAGAACCACTGTCTTTACTGAAGAACCCTTAGAAGGACCATCAGCCTAGGTTTAGAAGTAGGTGAAGGTTCTGTGTTCAAGATAAGGTTTAGGGTTAGATTTAATAGACTATCACATTCAACTTCAAATTCAGTTGTATTTAATAGATATTTAGTTGAATTTAGTTAAAGACATATTGAGCATCTGTTAAAACGTCTACAGTCCACATACAGACCATCAAACTAAAGTGTTACCAAGAAACCAAACATCTGATCCATACAGGCGGATCAGCACGTATGGAAACTGTACATTTGTACTTTGTAGCCTAGTTGTTCCTTTAATGGCCCCAAATTGATTTGCTGTAGCAAAACAGACAGCAGAGATTCATCTGAGACGGTCAGGATTCAGCAGTTCACTCACACAGACGCTGAAACTTCACACTCCAGCACCAAATGTGTGTCATTTTCTCCATCCTCAGACAAGTTTCTCAGTCCAGAGCGAGTCTGGCAGAAACGCACTGGAGAATTCACGGCTTAGTCCCAGACAGACACCACAGAGCTGCCTCTGGAGAAACCATGGTGTGTCTGCTGGGTACAGCTCAGTTCAGTTTAGGCCTCAATTAAAAACGAAAGACTGTGGCGCCCCCTATTGCCAGGACAAGACAAATGTGCCAGTCAAATTAAACCTATAGGCACAGAAATGTGTGTGCATGAAAGGAAACGACACTGTGGCTCATCTTTTCAGCCGCACTCATTATTTCTGACTCTGCACTTTTCCTCCACTGCAGATAAATGAAAGCAGCCTGGGATTCAGAGCCACCAGCGGGGGAGAAAGAGTGGATTAAAGACTTAATGCTGTCTGTTACAACCTTGAGGACAGAACACGATGCAAGCAGAGCAGGGCAGACTGGCACTGTGGGAGGAACAGAGGTGCTCTTGTTTTTGCAGCACTTAAATGTCTTTAAATGACTTTGTAGTAAAAGCAGAGAGGAACAGGGAAACGCAACAGGACCAAAAATGGCTCTTTGTACAGTGAAACAGGGTTTGGACTTTGGAAGTACTTATTACTTTTACATGCAAAAGTTAAAGACCACCTTTTCATTTCTTTCATGTCAAAAGTGGCCTTTAAGTACAAGTTTTACAGTTTTTCAGCATCAGGATAAAACAAAAACAAAAAAAAATTACACTGAAGCATCAACAACTAAATATGCATTTTCTCAGCACTCATTGTGTTCAGGCTTAGCTTTCATTGCAGCTTTCATTCTTTTCAGAAGACTCACTTTCAGTTTCTCAAAGGAATCTGCGGCCACACAGTTCAGTCTTAAAAGTTTTGTTTTTTGCTTCTCACTATCCAAATAATGACCACTTTCAGTGGTGTTGAGGTCTGGACTCTGGGGTGGTCAGTCCATTGTTCAGCTTCTTTGTTTGATGTGTCCGTCTCCTTTTCTCAGTGAGGTTCTTCTTGAACAGCTACACATCCTTTCAGACCCACAGCGCTGAGTCGTCTTCTCACAGTGGAAGGATGGACAGAAACACCTGTGGATGTTTTCAGATCTGAAGCAGCTTGATTTTCTCCTCTCTCTCAGAGATGAAAGCTTTAAGTGCTGTTTATCTGATGGGGACAGATTTGGTGTCTACCAGGTCTTCCAGGTGGTTGTTAGGAGCCCCATTTTCTCTGTAGCTTCTAAAACTCCTGTTTTAGAAAATTCTGTTGTTGAACTTTTTTTCTTTTGACTTTCTCCTTCTCAGACATGTGGATTATCTTGGATCTAATCTCCTCAGAAACATCTCCTTTAGTAATTTTAGATACATATGAAAAAGAAATTCGCAAGGCAGCTAAGCTGAAATTAATTAGCGATTTATCTGACGTTATACGTAGCTGTGCAGGCTTTTGTGTCAGGTTTCCTGATGAGTAACTTCTACTAAATGGCCATTTAGACTGGAAATTCTATGAAAGGGAAGAGCAGTTAGTGTTTTGGCAAGTTTTTATCATCTGAAAAAATAAAAAGACCAAGTTGTGCATATGTTAAAGTCAGCAAATTAACAGTAACTGTGCATCATGTAAGGATATAGGGTATTTTCATATATATATATATATATATATATGAGAAAACATTTGTGTATTTGTATCAGAGGGAAATCAAGGACATGTTTCAGGGCTGGACTGTTGTAATGCAGTGCTTCAGTGTCTTCTGGCTGTAAGCATTTTCAGCATCCTAGCAGCACATTTGCTGTGGTCAGCAATTATGCGTTCACTCTCACACAGGACTGAGTATTATAGATCCAGGCAGAATGGCCAGTGTCCAATGTAACCCAAGGCTTGTTTTCAATAGCCATACGACATGGTCTTAATATCTCCAAGCCAAATACTGGCGAGGTGAATTCTTCTTGGAGAAGAAACAGCAAACATCTCGTTGTTTGTATAAAAACAGAACACTTTATAGAGATAAGCTGAAAAAGTCCAATGAAAACACAACTACTTTACAATTACAAATGTTGTCTTCCCTTGTTATTTACACTTTTGTTCCTCAATGTTGATTAAAAGACAAAATGGTGGTAACCCCGACATTATAGATACATCAGTACAAGTTTACAGTGTAGCTGATACACACAGAAAATAATTATAATAAAAAAGAAACTCAAAGGGAAATGCATTGTTTTCAATCTGCTGCTGAACAGGGAAGAAATTAAAAAGACAGTTTTATTAACACAGATAAAGCCGTGCTCGGTATACTGTTACTGTTGATTAGCCACTGAAAATTCAGACATAAGACCTGTTTAGCCTTTATCTGCCCAGGTAATGGAGACTAACAACAAAATGCACATAACTTTGGGGTTTAGAGAAGACTGATTTGGATCATTTACACTGCCTTTTCTTTTAATTCTGCATTTTCACAAGCAGCTTGATGATGAAACCCCCACAGTGACAGTTTAAATAACGAGCTACTACTGACCTCTGACTCAATTAGAGTAACAATCTCAGATTTAACACAACACAGCACATTAAAGACATCGCTATCATTCACTAAAAACAGCCAAAAAACCTCAAACAACTCACTTCTATTCATTTTTTGAACACCGATGGCTTTGCTTTCTAACCTGCTTGAGTCTCAGTAGTGCTTTAATAGCATCCTGATAATAATGCAGGATGTGGGGGGTTCTAATCACTGTGGTTTTGTGGGTGTCTATTAAAATCTTCCCAAACCTCAATGTTTACATATAGCGATGGCTAGTTGCTAATTCTACATCCGTACTGGGATGTTCTCACACTTACGTGGCCATAACTAAACAAAGAAGTACACAGTTCAGATGGATACTCACTTACACAAATACACATATGTTTAAAAAAAGCCAGAATAGCAGAAAACGCACATTTAGCAACACATTACCAACAGGTGGTGGATTGCCTGGAAATTGTGTTATACCAGTCATCCTGCCAGACGTGCTGTAGAGGATCCAACCTGCGGCACAGACGTGGATATTCCTGGATTTTTCATAACTCATACTCTCCAAGGGTGTCGGAGTGCGCTAACATTCACAGCTGTATAAACAATAAAGGTGCAGTAGAAAAAAGCAAGCATTTTACAGCATGATAATAGAGTCCGGTAAAGCAGAACAGCCACACTAATGAGTTTCTGGGCACACAAGTTTAAAAAAAACTGCCACCACCACTGACAATACTGACCAGTCTCCACACAGCCTCTCTCTGAGCCAATGAGGAGAGTCTATAGCTTAATGATACGTTATGACAAGGACTGATCAGTTACCAGTTATACAGAGAGAGAGAGGGAGAGAGAGGGAGAGAGAGAGAACCAACAGGTACGATGAGACTGGTCGGCGTTGGTGTGACATTTCGTGTGAAAGCAAACGTTATGCTGCCCATCAACAGCATAACTGAGCGGCCACTGAATGAACGAACATACAGTTTGTCCTCATGTCAGTCAGTGGAGCTTCACGAAAGTATGATGAAGTGGTGAGTGCAGTCCAGGTACTTGTTCATGTACCTGCATATCGTCACTGTCGTAGCAAAACCTCGTCACCTAAAAAATGGTAACAAACGGTCATTTTGCAGGGAAGAGAGAATAATGTTCTTAACATTAACGTATAGTTACTGTCCAAAAACCCAGACACTTGCATCTCCAGGAAAATGCAAAAAGAATTTAACTTTTGAACAAAGTTAATGTAAAGAGATTTAGAACTTATCTGGGATCATTTCTATTGGTCCGTACTTAATGAAACTTCCACAGTGTTTTCAAACGATGTAGAAAAATAAAAATCGAAAAAATGAAGATGCAAGTTTTTTTGGACAGTAATGATACATTAATGTAACAACGTTTTATGCCAACTAATTCTGGACCATTTCTGTCGGTCCATTCATATTGAAATGTTACACAACGTAAGGGCAGCTGGAGTTTTTAAATGGTACAAGAAAAATAAAAACGGAACGAGGGTTTTGATATGACAGCAATGACGTGCGAGTGTGTTTAGCTGCCTCCGCTGGGCTTGGCGGGAGTTTTTGAGCGCATGGCTGCTCCTGTGCGTGCGTTTCCTTTGCCCTGCTGTGGCTGGGGTGTGCCAGGCTGCTGTGGCGCTGCCTCGCCCGCAGGGGCCGTCGTGACGCTCTGCTGCTGTGGCGGCTGGGCCGGGCTGTGAGGGGCCGGGGTCTGAACCTGGGGGGATGCGGCGGCAGCGGGCGTAACAGCCGCTGTGACGACCTGCTGCTGCTGGAGCAGTTTCTGTTGGACGACCTGTGCGGCGGAGCCGGAGGCTGCAGGTATCACCTGAACCTGTGCCTGAGTGGACGCTCCGGCTACTGCTGCGGCCGCCTGGGTCAGAGCCACCGTCTGATTCTGCACTTGGATCTATACACAGAGCGATGTTTTATAAATGATAGTAAATAAAGAACTGAAACAAGAAAACATAATCACACATTTTCCCCTTACTGTGAATACAGCCGATGGGAAAAAGACGTTTGCTGTCTGAAGTTTGTTTCTTTTGTTTTACAATGGAGCTGCAAGGCTCAGCTAACAAGTAATAGAATCTTACACTCCAGCAATGAGACAATAAAATTAAAATTCACATTCAGATGAAGTAAATGCCCATTAAAATGTTAAAAGCCATTTGTTGTGGCTCCTTCTCCATTCTAAGCCATGATTTATCACACACACAATGGCTGACAAGTGCTCAGCAGAACATGACATTACTAAACATAAATAAATAAATAAACACAAAGCAATCTACTCCAGCTTTAATTAGATTTTTAAATATATTGGAATATTTACAACCATCTGAATGAAGCACTGTGGTTACTTCAGAAACTATATAACGCGAGCAGGTAGAAATACGTTCTTGTGTAAGTTATCTGAATAATCGGGGAAGCCAATGCTCCAAATGTGGACAATCTCTATAACGGCAGGTTAATAATCGCATAATATTTCCAAGACAGTGAAGTAAATGGGCAACTACTGCGTCCACTCTTGGCAGTTTTTTTGTCTGTTTCAACAACAGTGGCTGACAAGAGCCAATGATAAAAGCTGGCCCCTCTGAGGTGAATTGTGGGGGGTTAGTTAATGTAAGAAGCAAAAACCTGTTTATTTGATAACATATTTGTCATGTTTGCTTTTTAAATTATGTAACAGAAGATCATCTGTTTTGTCAACCACTGCTTGTGGCAGAGAACAATGATAAGATTAAAATGTTTCACAAATATCAAGTCCCGAGTCACTGTCATGGGGTATGTAAATGAAGACAACTATTCATCAGTATGTAAGGATCAACACCTGTACCAAAAAAATTGGACCAAATTATGTGCTGGTGCGAACAACTGAGAAAGTTAGTGCGACCAATGGAAAAGTTAGTCTGGAGGGACTGCAGGTTTTCATAGCAACAAAACAGGAGCACACATGATCAGTTCTTTGAAAACTGAGACCAACTGATTAGAACCCAGTGAGCTTCTGCAAGTTGCGAATGAGTACCTGCAGATACAGAGTGTCCCTGTGCGAATTGGTATTGCGGAGCCAGAAATGATCCTGTAAGGAGAATGTCTGGGGACAACCATGAGAAAGTCTGGGCTAAATTTGGGTGGGAATGTCCACTTATTAGCTTGAGTTTGAAATTTCTAAACCAATCCAATGCCTTGTGGAACCCAAAGTAGGTGGTGATGCTCTGGCAAACACCAAAATCGATGTTAGTCCATGAATGTAGTGTAAGTTAGCATGGCTGAATAAAAAAACTCCAAATAAAGGAATAGTTTGGCGAAAAATCAATTAACCTGGTTCATCACTTATCCCAGATGGATTCGATTAGCCAAGACATGGTTGATGTCTGCTTCTCTAGTTTACAGCGGGAGATGCTAGGCTAACATTGCTAACAGACAGCGAAGGTGGACCGTCACCAAACTCATACCAAATTTGTAACTTTGCTTCCAAAATCGACCAAAAATCTATGTAAATATGTTAAACAATTTAGTGAAACGGCACAGATGGACCTTGTTTAACCACCTAAGCTAGAACTGGAGGTACCTTATCAGCCGCATTATGCGCCGCTTTGTAGAACTCCTCCGTCACTACACAGATGTCACGTTGTGGTTTTTAGCATAGCTAAAGCTTCATAACTGTAAGACAGTTAGCTAGAAGCAAGCTGCACCCTGACTAACGTTAAAGCTACAAAACAAGGGGCTGCGTTCCTTTTTCTTTTTTTTATTTTCCCAGGCCAGTCTTCCTTGGCCACACCACCACCCCCCTTTTTCAGGGGACATTAAATTTGTTTTTTTCATTTCACTATTAAATGTCACAACTCATTTATTAATGATCATACAAATATGAGGTGATGTGATACCACAACCACCCAACACCCTTCCAAACACCATACCCCCCGCCCACCTGTCCCAGACTTTGAGTGAAAGAAAAGACAGAAATAACTGACAGACAAAGCAGAAGAGAAATAAATAAATAAATTAATAATAATAATAATAATAATAATAATAATACTCAACAATGGACAAACTGGACAAGACATGACAGACAAACAAACATTTAACAGAACAATAAACAAGGTAGTAACCCCCCCTTCCTTTTTTTTAACGCTGTAATTATAACGTGGGTAGTTTTCAAATTCTATGTAAGGGTTTTAACTTTTTGTTGAGTTTGGAGAGAAAATCAGCTCCCAGTATATTATAAAAATTATGACCAGGTTTCCTTTAATTGTTTTGTATTATTTTTAAAATTTAATATTTTTAAAAGTCTTTCCAATTTGCAGTGATCCATGAGTATAACTTTTTTGGCAATGGTAAGTGATATTAATATAAAGGATTTTCTATTCATAATGAACAGAACAGATCGAAATCTAAATATAGTCTGGTACACAGGCTGGTACCACTGATTCCCTAATTACGCAAAAACATGGAAACGGTGGCTTTTGGCAATGGACCACAAATTAGCAACAGTGCTGTTCAATAAAAGTATCATCGCAACGCTGAAGTTGTTCTTCACCAGCTTCTTACTCAAATTTTCTGTTGCACCTTAAATGGTGCAGCAGTTTTCATCCTTTTGCCTGTACAGGTGCCAGTAACTGCAGCAGTATTTAAGGTGAAATTTTAGCTGACGCACAAGAATAAGAAGAACCCAGCTTCAGCCTCATCCAGAACAGTGATCCTTTCTCGTATCATGATTAAAAGGAAAGTCACAAATAGGATATTCTTAAATCTGCAGCTGTTCGAAGTAAACTTCTACCAATTGAAGCGAATTTAAGGTAAGCTTTGTTTACTTTTCCTCTGTTTTCTGCTCACTTAGCTACTCTCATGCCATAACATGCTTGACAAATGTGCTTTACGCAGTTTGACTGGAGAAATAAACATATTTTTGACCTTCAGTACGAGTTTGTTAAAGCGCTGGCATCAACCGTTCCCTCTTCCCACAGCAGTAACGCTCAATCTCTGCTGGCATCACCTGGTATTTTCATCAAGTAAACTCAATTCCTGTCGTACGAGCAGCCGCAAAAAATATGTCCAGCGAGTCACTGGTGTGCCCAGCCACCAGCTGACGCGTTCCATAATGTGTGTACTGAAGTTGGAATATATATGACTGAAAATGTGGTTGTCAAAAGCGTAATCGAACATTGTTTTGATATTGAAAGGACAACAGTTAAACTCTGCCAAATTACCATATAAACCATTTATGTGTTTAGGAATTCACGTAGCTTCGACTTCGGTCATCTTGCGCCAAACAATACTCACAATGGCTGCCCGAACGTTCACCTTTGCGAGCAAGTTTATTTTTGTTTTTATAGATTAACGTTAGCTATACAGTGTTGTAAACCACATCAATGTGTACGCACGAAATGAAGATCTGGATGCGTCCTGAGTGAGCTGAGAGCGTTTTTTTGGCGTGTATTTACAGAAATGAGTTTGGTGACAATCCAACTCAAGGGTCTGTTAGCAATGCTAGCATAAAATCTTCTGCTAAAACCTAAAGAAGCAGACCTCAGATCTCAAACATGTGTTGGCTGATCGACTGCCTCTGGGGTAAGTGATAAATCATGTTAATTTGATTTTTCGCTCAACTACTCCTTTAGGCCTGCAGATGTGTGTTGCATGCACATGCAATACAAATAAACATTACTTCTTACAAGTACACATTAGACACATTAGCTAGCAATAGTGTTTCGCTTGTGTTACTGACTGTACTCCAAACGTTAAAAGAGCATGCACTAGAGGATTTCAGGAGCTGATTTTAGAGGGGGCGTAAGTTTGTTAGTGGTGCAAACCATCACCAACAGTGTAAAGTTGTCCCCAAGTATTTATGTCTTTTACAAGATCATTCCTGGCCCTGTTTGTGGATAAGACTGGACTAATTTTATTTCTAAAATAAATATTTTACAGAGGAAATATTTTTTTACTGCATCCCATAAAACACCACACACAAAAAGAAAAACAGCACAGAACATGTCCGCTCTTACCTGCTGGGGTGGGGACACTATCTGTTGCTGCACTATCTGAGGGAATTTAGCAACCTACAAGTAGAGGAGAGGATCACTACTGGGGCAGGAACTGTAGCTGGAAACTAAACATACACTCTACTGATCTGAATGCCTGTACATATGCTACTCTACCATTGGCTGATGTATCGTAGTTAACAGAGACCAGTCAAGACAGTGCATCTGTGTACCTGTATCTGCTGTGTGGTGGCAGGTTTCTGGGTGGCAATGGAGGTGGTGAAGAACTGGGTCTTTATGCCTGGCTGCAGCTGAGTGGTTGCATACGTCACCTTCTGCTGGACCTGACCTGCTGACTGAGCAGCCTGCTGAGTGGCCAACTTTACAAGAGAGAGAAAGAGAGAGAACGAGACAAAGAAAGTAAGAATGGGGAAGAAAAAGTAGGAAAATGGTATAAAACAATAGGGGTTTAGGGGTTAAACAATATATATTTTTAAGTTGAATGCAATTGGGTCAAAATTTAATTTGATTTCCAATATTTTGTGTGTTAACAGACAGATGTCTTACACAGCTCTAATTTTAAAGTATACTGTTTGGTTTGATAAATAAAAGATCTTGAACAGACCTCTTTTCTATGCATACTGCGTCATGTTTTTCCTGAATTTATACATTTAGAGAAAACGTTATTTAAGAAAAAGCCTGTGTGTGCCCCCAACCTAAGCTCATCCCCCTCTCTAGCCACTTTACTCTGACAGGATGCACCCAGCTGCTTTGCTCTGATCTTTGTTGGTGGTTTCTATAAAAGATGTACAATGCAATCATATGCAAAATCAGGGAGCCACAGGCAAATGACACATTTCGTTGTGAAAATGTTGTCTGAAAGTAAGTGAAAATAAGTCAACAAATCTGCTACAGAGAACACATTTCGGCACATTTTAATGCACAATTATTTGCTGAATTTAACCTACTGGGGGAAAAATAAGACATAAAATGCGGACTGTGCAAAAAATGTTTTTTTTAACACTTTAAACTCAATAATAAAATAGAAACTTTGCACCAAAACTGAAGAAAGACGTCTGATTTAAATGTGTTCACTAATGTGCAACTATTATATATATGTTATATGCAAACTTAGTGTGTTTAAAAGTGCATGCTACCTTCTGCTGCACTGCAGCCTGTGTTTGTTGAGGCTGTGCTGCTTTCTGCTGCACTGCGGCCACCTGAGCTGCTGCCTGCTTCTGCCTCAGCAACTGATGCACCTGTAACGGGTGTGCCACAACAGGAGCACCTGAACATGCAGAGAGAGAGGCAGATAAACATTCAGGGTTATTCGTGGTAATTATATCCTCGCTGCCAAGAAAAGTCTGCAACTCACCTTGTGTGACATTGTGTACATTTGATTGCAGAGAGAACCAATGCAAATTTTGAAAAGCAGACCTTTCATGTACTATTTTTAAGTTATAAACACGTTAATGTTTCTTCCTTACACCACTTCAGAGGGTTTTTCACAACAATGACAGTGTACTAATAAGAGCTGCTCAATAATTGATTTGCTAACTGTTATCACGATACTGGCCTCTGCAATATCAGTACTGCAGAAGCCAATATTGTGATATTAGTCCACGATATGCAAATGAGCCCTCTAACCAATCACAGCTCCAGATGAGTTTCTCATTAAATCACAAAAGAGTAAATTATTACAGTAAAAATAATGCAGGCCAATCTTTAACCATGTCACAATACTGATTCACAATTTTTTTAAACATACTGCAAAACTAGTACTTGGCTCATATCAGGCAGCACTAATGCTAATTCATTCTTACACATTACAAATGCATCTCTCACTCATTACTAGCTCGATACCTGCTTTCTGGGCCTGTCCGATGGCCACGCTGATGCCGGCCACAGTGACGGGTAGTGTGGTGACCCCTGTGGAGGAAACCACAGCTGGCACGGACACCACCGGAGGAGGTTTGGTCAGTGTGACCTGAGCAGGCTGACCTGGCTGTGTCTGGAGAGCAGATGTAACCGGAACTCGTGCCTTATAGAGCAGAACAAGACAAAGAGAACAGAAAGATTTGCTTTCAAATGTTGTGCACACAGTTTTACAGGAGTAGTTCAACATTTAGTGGCCTCATTAATTAAAGAATTAAGCCACAAATTAAGGTTTCATTAATTTTGACTAGGAAAAAAGTTTATAAACGCTAAGGTAGACAACAAACAAAAATTAACCTATTTACAATTTACTATACTGTATATAAAACATACATAAAATGGAAACAAACAAAAAACATTACATGCTCACGGGGACACTATTATTTTGGTAAAAGCAACACAATCAAGTGTGCCACCATCAGGAGGAAAGTTTAACTGCACTGAGAAAACTGTTACGTTGATATCAGCCAAAAGTCTCTTTATTTCAACTTCACTGTACTTAACTATATATCTGTTAATTAACTCTTAAGAACATTTGACTATGAAAATTAGTCAAAATGTACTCCCCTAGTGTCTACCCGCCAGTGCAAGCTTGGCCAAATACAACGTGCATTTAATACAATAGCAGTTCGCCTACTTGTAAGCCTCAAAAGGTAAAATCATCATATCATATAAAATAAGTGCGTCTTCAAAACATGCTCTGCTCTAATGGGATGGCTCAAAAAAAAAGACCCAAAAAACACAATGCTCTGTTTCTCCAGGTGATACAGTCATCTAGAAATCTGGGACTCAGAGCTCAGCTCTGCAGAGATCAAATCTGCAGTGGAGCAATTAGAAATTTCAGAGTACTGATCTGAAAATGTCCTGGACTTAATAGTCTAAATTAACGTTTCCCGCCCCCCCATATCCCAAATGTAGTCGACCTGCACACTAAACCAACAAACACTTGCCTCAAACTGTGCTGAGCTACAGAATTGAAGCTTTCAAGTTGCATATAGTTAAAATATCCCTTACTTGATCGACTTTAAATGATCAGTTTAAAGATTCACACAGTGGGCTTGTACGCGTGTACAGTCAAATACATTCACCGTTTTCCAAGCAACAATATGTTAACACATCCTCTAGACCAAACCTAATTATGGCATTTTCCTGCAAATGTTAGTACACAAGTTCTACTTATTTGCTGAGTTTACATGTCATTTGGCAGGGACACTCAAATTTTTTGCATATGACTGTATGTATGTATAAAACTCACAAAATCAAAGCTGGAATGTGTGTATATGTGCGTGTAAGCTCACCAGTCTGGTCACCTGCAGGTTGGGGCCGGGGGTCGCGGTGAGGACGGTGGTTGTAGCTCTGGGTGCAGCCACTGCAGTGAGCTGCGGGCTGGGCTGCGGCGCCGGGGCAGCCTGAACCTGCTGAGGCGTCTGGGTAACTGTGGCCTGCTGACCCTGAGCTGCAGCGACTGCCGCCGCAACCTGCTGCTGCGGAGTCATCTGCAGCTTCTGCTTACTCATTTTCAGCAAGTCCTACACACATGCACATAGACACTTGTATTACTATATTTGTAAAGAATTTTAATCACAATAATAAATTAATAAATATATACATAAACAAAATAAAATAAATAAATATATACATGAACAAAAATGAACTAAAATAAATAAATGAAGGGTTTCATTCCAAAGAGTATGAAATACCACTTTCTAAGCACGTTTTTGTTCCTGATATATATTGTTGGGAGTGAGATTCACACATGCCACAAATATTAATGCTATATTATGATTATTTATAAGCTGTTTCTTTTCAAACCTCCTCTTGTTACAAATGTATGTGCAGTATTTTGGAATTAAAATCTCCAAATCCATTTCTATTTGAAAAGCACCTTGCTAAGACAAAAGGCTGCTTCACGCGCAAAATCACAACAATAAAACAAAGACAACTGAAATGAATTATTCTCACTTTTAATCTCACTTTAACTAATTTCTCAACTTAAATCTAACCTTGGCTTCCTTGGCCTGACTTGGAAATGAAGCCTAACATGATGACTAATGCTAAGCGCTGTTAGTTTAACCTCCTTAGAGCTTGGTAATATATTGTCTATACTGGTATACTGTGATACTCCTCAGCATTTCTCTGGTAGCATCAGACCTCTATTGACAAAAACAAGAACTACGTGGTTTCCAGACAGCCAGCAAGTGAAGCAGCGCCAGCAAATCGGTCAGATACGTGTTCGTAATAAAGCAGAGCGTGTGCGTACCGGCTGTGGTTTGTTTCCTGCTTTGATCTGAGGAGAACCAGCCTGTTGCTGCTGTTGCTGCTGGATCTGCTGGAGCTGCTGCTGCTGCCTCAATATTTGCAGCTGCGCAGGTGAAAGCTTCTGTATCCCCGCTGTGATGGAGGTAGCGAAGGAGAGCAAGAGGGAAATGACAGGACAAGAACGGGCAGTTAGTTTTGACAGCGAATGTCTAAACCACTAAACCCATAAAGCAATGGGCCACAAGGATATGCATTGTATTGCTCAGGACGGCACAAAGCAAAGGCCTTAAAATCCACTTAATTGCGGTAGAATCATTGTAATGCACAATGGTTTACTGCTTTTATAAAACTGCCAATATAACATTTTAATCATATTTACTGCACAATTCTTCCACCAAGCAATGTAGCTCCTTAAAAATAGACTACAGTTGTCAAGCAACATAACATTTCTTTTGCAGTAAGTTGGCGCAGCAATACAGAATTCAACTGATGTATGCAGTAATACGTGTATATAAATGTTTTACAACACAGCTCAGCCAATCCATTTTATGACACTCAGTAGAACAATCTGGCAAATAGCTAGGAAATGCCCATTGTGAGACACCTGTTGAACACTGGCAATCAAAAAGTACTGCTTTGCTGGAATATTTGTTGTTAATGTGGTTCTTTTCTTTCTTTGAGAGAAAAGACATGCATCGTGCTGTACCTGGAGCTGCCAGCGAGCGCGTCTGTGACTGGCCCGCAGACAGACTGGTGGACACCACAGCTGAGGCAGTCACTGGGGTAACAGCTCGAATGCCCGGAGTGGCTATGGTGACAACTTCAGTGGGGGCGGGGGCAGCAGGGACGGCCCTCTGCTGGGTGTGAACCACCTGCGCTGTAGTAGTACCTGCAGCCTGGAAATGCACAAACGAAAGAAATGAACAAACATGCCATCACAGTCAATACAGCAGAGTGTCTGACGTCATTAACTGCTTTTACATGATGTAAAACTCTGGCTTCACAATGATTCGATTCTACTTTATGTTATGATGATTAACTGATTTATTGAATCTTAAAAAATGGATTCAGGCATGATTCAGAAATATGCTGAATTCACATGACTTAAAGAGCTATTTACATGCTTGTCGGATGTAACAAAATAATATGCAAAGTATTTTCACATTTGGAAATACCATGAGAATTAAATTTCGGCCAAAACATTTGCACACATTACAGTGAATGTTATTATAGTCGATTACAAAATTCTTAACCCTACTGGACCGAGCCCTTTAAACTTGTTTGAAAGGGAGAGCACATGCACATCCATGTTGGCCAGAATGAAATGTGTGAGTGTACACAGTTGGTGCGTTCTGTGTGCTACTGTTTTTATCAGTGTACAAAAGATGAGCGTGAAATGAGCAATGAGGCAATACGTGTGAAAGCTCATTCAGCCACTGTTTGCATCTGTAAGAATTTATTATTGTTTTGTTTAATCAGAGTAAGGATAAAATGCTGCTGACGTGTGATTTGCTTTCCTATTCATGTGTTTTCTTGTTCACAATTATACTATGAAACAAACTCTGCATGAATAACTACAAATGTTTGGCTTTGAAATCACATGATTAACAGAGAAGAGAGGAAGAAACAGCAGAAATAACCATTTTATGTCAGCTTTACAGGGTTATATAAATGTGAGTGGATAATAATCGATGCATCATAATAGACAGATGAATTTTAACACCATTAAATGCTAGGTTAGGCTTAGTCCACATTTTATACTGCATTTTGCCTGACTAAGCAGGTTACCGCTGAAAACTGTATGCATTTAAGGTACACTAAGAAGCATTCTGATCCTAGTTTTAAACTGTTTTCATAATTTACAAAATATACACAGTTTTTCTTCAAAGTTTGACACTAAAGCACATAAGCCAGGTTACTGAATGTTTGTTTTGACACTGAGCAGGACTTACTGCCACAGCTCCAGGGATGGCAGGAGAAGCTAGTCGTTTGTTGCCCTGAAATTGGCCTGGAGGAACTCCAGCCACCGTGTTTACGATCACATTACCCCCCACTGTAGCTGCTGAGACAGACGGAGGAAAGGGACAACACCATCAGCACTGCATTACAGAAGAAAACAACCCTCTACTTCTGCTTCTGAGAAGTTATAAGCCTGAGGGAACCCACAGTGGGATAATGTTTATGTGACACGAGAGGGTACCTGTCTGAATGCCTGTTCCAGCAGCAGCAGCTGTCTTGATAGCTCCAGCCTGAAGGAAGGGAAAAAAAAAAAAAGTTCTCATTTGTTTGAATACTACAAAATCACAGTTGCATTACTCCACTCAATTTGTGAGCATAACCTCTTAAACATGTTCAAACGACATATGACAAACACAGAAAACTTCAAAATGTCATACAGCAGACCTACCAAGCCTAAAGAATACAAATAAGTAGAACAGATTATTCCAATAATCTGCGTTGAAATTACTGACACAGTCGCTGCACTGAATTGAAGGTTCCCTTAAAAAAGAGCCACTGTAGCAGGCTCCAATTCTGTCTGAGCTGAACCTAATCAGTTCCTGAATATGTTCTCAACATACATAACTCAACATAACTTGCTTACTCATCTCTCTGAACAAGTCAGTGTCATAAGATTATGCTTGTTTGCTGCACACGTTACATAGCAATGTTGAACGCATCAATTATTATATATCACTATTGCTAGCACAATGCAATTTTTTATGTCAATGCTAAGCTCACAAAGGGGTATATTCAAGTTTTACTGCAATAGCCTAAACATGGACATCTGAAGCTCTTTTGTTTATATTGTATTTACACTGTATATGTATGCATGTATTTACCCTGACCAGTTTTCGTTGGCCACAACACCACAACCACTTTACTGGGTCATTAACTTTTCTTTTTCGTTTCATTATTAATGCCACACAGTACACCATTCATTCATAGTCATACAGATATAACAGTCCCTCCCCATGCACCCAGATCACCCCCTCTGTCCACCCATTCCACCTCTCTAAGTGAAAGGAAAGAGAGAGATAGCTGAGAGACAAGGCAGAAGAAAAAAAGAACAAGAAAAAAAAGCTCTTGACATTTCAAGTTCTTGACAGACATGCAGCTCTGCAGTGAATCCTTCAATAAACACTGTAATTTAAGCTTGTTTTTGAATACTGTTCAAAGAACACCCCCCGATTTATGTAGGAAGAAGACGAGAGATCAGTGGACAAACCACAACACTGCTGAAGGGTGGGGGGGGGTTCTGGGGTTGTGGACGGAGAGAAAGTGCTGATGTGATGGAGACTCTATACTTTTGTTGTGCATTAAATACAGTTTATCAAAAATAAGACATGCAGTGTTAGTAAAGTCTGACCAGTACAGCAGTGTTGGGGACTGCAGCAGCTCCTTGCTGGTTGGCCTGGGGGACTCCAGCTGCTTGTGGTCCAGTGGCAGCAGCCTGTGGCTGGGCTTGAGGCTGGGTGGCAGCTACTTGGCCTTGGGCAGCTCCAGCTGCCTGCTGCTGCTGTTGAGCTAACTGCTGTGCCCTCTGCTGATCTGCTAGAGCCTGAGAGAGAAAGAGAGCCCCAAACAGAGCTTACTGGATTTTTGACTTTGGTGTTGTAAACCCTCATTTCTGCCATGTTGTGACACAAACAGGTATTTAAGAATGAATCTCAGGACACCCACCTTCTTCTCTTTAGCGATTCTCTCAGCTCTTTGAGATGCTACCTGGATGGGAGGCAGCGGCTTATCGTAGCTGATCCCACTATGTGGAAAAAACAGAGACCACCCAGTTAGACCAACAAAACCACACCACAATATTCTGATCAACAAGCACATATTGTCCACTACTGGGGGAAGCTGACCTTTCAGCTAACACTGAAGCATGCTTTGGGTTCTTCTGGAATGGATTCATACCCAGCCTGAGGAAGGAAAGGAGAACAGTTATGAAAACAGAAAGCAAGCATTTGTAGCACTTCAGAAATGTGTCTGACAACAAGTTGCTGAGTTTATTTTGGGGCTATGGACAGGACTGTGCCCCACTGAGGCTGTAGAAGAGCTTTATACAGGTCTGAAATCTTGATCTGAACTCTGTATTTGCGTTCCCATCACTTTAACTAACCCGCCAACTTATTCATCAGTAAATGCCTTCAAATAACATCCTAAGCAGTTTTATTCTGGATAAACAGAAATATTTCTAAGCTCTTACAGGGGTTTGATAGGAGGGCTCCTCTTGCTGGCGATGATCTTCATGAGCTCAAAGCGGTTGTTGTAAAGCTGTATCTGAGTGGCATTGTCATCCTGAGTGTAGATCTGACACGTGCGCAGAGGACGACTGTTCTTCGACTGCAATGGGAAACAGAGGTCACTGAGGAGCAAACTGCAAACAGCTACAGCAATCAGAAGAAAAGCTTATGTCTGGATGATGGTGGATATTTACAATAGCACATTTTTGAGGTGCATATCAGCTTACCTTATAGATGCTCTTGGTCTTCTTCTTGGGATTAGCTTCATACATCAACTGCGTGAGAACACATTAAGATCAGAACAGAATTAATGCAATATGCCATCTCTGTGGTAAAAAAACCTTGCACCTCCAAAACAGTAACTTAACGGAAAAATGTTCTTTATGGTTATTGAAGTCACAAAATTTCATTCCAAGTCATTTTGGACTATTGCTATTCGTCCACTCATCATCAAATACTTAAACGATGCAAAGGTCAGCTTGTAATATCAAACGGTGTAATAATCTAAAAATAATGAATCTCCTCTTTTGTCATTTTTTTTTTTACTTTTTTGCATGACTTGAAAATTCCAGTTACTCTTTGCATCGTGTTAAAATTTCACCATGAACAGACCAACAGAAATGGTCCAAAAATACTTCGGAGGGCTCCTCTTGCTAGTGATGATCTTCATGAGTATCAAATTTTTCTTTTGTTTTTTTTTTTCAATTTTTACCCGATTTTCTCCCCAATTTAGTCGTCTCCAATTCCACCCGCTAGTTAGGACTCCCCCAATCACACACGACGCTATCAACGCTAGGAAGGTGAAGGCTAACACAGGCTTCCTCCGAGACCTGTGAAGCGCCACCGCTTCTTTTCGAGCTGCTCCTCACGCAACGTCACTGGACAGCCGAACGCGCTTGGAGGAAAGCGCCAACCGCCAGATCTGTTACGTCAGCTAACAGACGCCTGCGCTCACTAGCATCACGCAGCCATCCCACCCACCCAGAGAGAGTAAGGCCAGTTGTGCTCTCTCGGACTCCTGGCTACGGATGGCTGTAGCATCACCAGGGATCGAACTCGCGATCTCCTGATGATAGGGCCAACGCTTAGACGGTTGCGCCACTCAGGAGCAATGAGTTCAAATTTACTTCCATAACAAAACATTTTTCTGTTAAAAAAAAATGTTCCTTCTGTTGTAAAGTTACCATTTTGTAGATAAAAGATTTTATTCCGACAGTGACATATATAAAACCTATTACCTTGCCCTCCTCGCGGGGGATAATGACGTTTTCATAGCGGCTGCGGCACTGCTTGGGCGAGCGATAGATCCGGCTGCAGGAGCTCACCACGTCACTCACCAGGTCCCAGTTTGGAGTGTGAGCCGGAGACACAATGGTCAGGTTCAGAGGGAGCTCAAGCAGCTGCTTCACAGCCTGGCAAATAACATGAAAATATGTTTTGTTTGCATGTTTTGTAAATGCATTAAGGCATGTAGCTGTGGCACTGTATAAACTTTACCTCCGAAACAGGAGAAACTGTCATAAATCAGAGCACTTATGAAGGAAAACTAAGCTGCATGTATAATATGATATTCTCAAATGGCAGATCTCCACCTACAATACTGCTATAAAAAAAAATCCACACAGTCAAACCTCTCCAACGTAATTAATAAACGCAAAAGGTAACACCTTTTTTCCACCACAGACCAAGTAATTAACTTAACTTTTCTGCTAGTGGGTCTCAAGGTAACTTATCTTCTAAAAGTTTGCAATTCATTTTTAAAATAAAATAGCCTTGATAGGACAGAGCACAGCTCAGCCAGCTGGAAAAAGCTCCTATAACCTTCCTCATAACACACCAGTAACGACATCTCTCTCTATTAGCAATTATCAGGAGCTCACAACTGTTATAAACTAAGTTCGTCCACATGTGATCTGTTACTACTTCTCTCCATAAGATGGTTTTTGATTATGTTCAAAATTATATTTTAACTACTGTAAACAGGCGCTTTTAAAACTGCCTTGGTGAAGCCTCTGCTAATAGAGAGTAGCATGGATCCTTCCATACTAAATAATTTTAGACTAATTTCCAACCTTCCATTTTTAAAGTAAGTAAAGTCTTAGAAAAAGTAGTTTTCAAACAATTAAATGCATATCTAACATCAAACAATTTATATGAGAAGTTTCAATCAGGCTTTCATTCTAACCATAGTACTGAGAGATCATTGGTTCGAGTTATGAATGACCACAGGCTCAGCACTGATGCACAAAATCCTTCTTTGCTAGTCTCACTGAATCTTAGTGCAGCTTTTGATACTGTCAATATTGGGTCAGCCTCTCAGGCACAGTTTTAGAACGGTTTAATTCACATTTAGTTAATATACAGTTCATGGTTTCACTGGAAATCATTCATCAAAAAAATGTGGAGTCCTACAAGGTTCAGTCTTAGGGCCTTTGCATTTCTCTTCGTATGTGCTACCCCTAGGTAATGACATTGGGGAAATAAATTTTTTATAGGTGTACTATGAAATTAATGATTCATAGTAAACCATGATTCCACACTAAATGCCAAGTAGCGCAGTAAAAAGTTGCTTCGGGGTGCTTTGTGTTTCAGGGCTGAATTTAACCACTGAATAATCCCCCTAAAATATACTGGATTACACAACTGATGCTTGAGAGGTGATAAAACCTCCACTGGACACTTCTACTAGAGGAAACCGCAAGAAACAGTAAAAAAGTGACAGTGTGTGTGTGGGTGCATATGTGTGGAATCGTGTTGCCCAGTACCTGCAGTAGAGCCCAGTCCTCACTAATGAGCCACTCTGGGTTGTCCTGTCCAGCCTCCATGGCAGGTTTGGCCAGTGAGGGCAGTGGCTTGGCAAAGGGAGCCTGTTGTTTCAGGGAGAAGTTCTTCTTCTGGTCTTTCCCTTCTCGCCGGACCTTTACCATGCTGGCCTTATCAAAGAGTGACCGAGGTGGTATGACTGCCTCACCATGACCCTTCTTCTTCTTACGGCCCACGGCTGGGGGAGAGCAAAGAAATGCCACGTTAAACTAAACCTAAACAGCGTGTGGATAATCACACTAGGGCCGCAAATTATATTGATTACTAATCATTAGCGCAATACTGGTCATTTTCCGTACAGCACAGATGACAAATACATATTTATTAAGTGATTGATCACAGTTCCAAGTCTTTTAGTGGCTGTTTTAATTAATACGTTTCATTTAAGTATTTATTAACCAAACAAATTATTTTGTACAAAATAAATGCAAAACAATGCATTTTAATATATTGGAAGGCACATCACAACCTTACAATGAAGTACTATAATTGCAAGTATTGTTTCCCACATCATGCAGCCTTTACTCTCTCTTACGTGCTCGATTAGTTCGAAAATAATGGCCAAAATAACTGTCAACTACAGAGAAAGTAACCTGTTCTTCGCTCAAGAGCAAGACAACAGCAGGCATCACCTGGGATGAAGAAAACACCTAGTTGTGGCTGACCAATGAACTGCAATTTCCCTCCTATTTCTTACCAGAAGGATCCATCTTGGGCCTCTTGTGCTCCTTGCGGATGTAGACTGGGGGCAGTTTGGACTCAGGCATGGGAGCGGAGTCATACATCAGGCAGATCACAGAGTCAATATAGATATCGTTATCATCCTGAGGTGGGGTTGGTGGGGTCCAGAGCTACATTACAGAGACAAAAGTATTATGTCCATCAAATGAATGTAACCCTGAAATAACTCATCTAAACCCCTGAAAAGCTTTGACATATACTTCAGTCATGTCTTGTTTTCAACATCAAATAAGACATTTTCTTTGGTCTTACCGGCATAATTTCTGTCTGACCATCCTCATTCTCAAATATGTATTCCTACAAGGCATGAACACAGAAAACACTGCAATTTACAGTACTTTTTTCTATCAGGTATAACAGTAACAGTAACAACAGCAGCAAATGAGACACAAACAACAATAACTAAAACCTTATTTATGGTATTGATGTTCCAACATCAGACTCATTTGCAAATAGTTATAATACTGAGAGAATATATGTACCATGTTGTAAGCATCCTCTCTAGTGTACGTAAAGAGATCTTCCTCTTCTTCTAGAACCATCCGCTCCTCCTCCTCAACCTTCAGTTTCTGCTGCAGATGCAGCTCCCAGCTTTTCTTAGCAGCTTCTGTACGCTCCTACAGGCAGACAGGCAGGGACAAAAAACAGGTTCAAGCCAAAATCTTATGAAGAAGACATAAATTGGCAACTTATAACTGATAACTGCTGCTATATGTACTGCATAATACACAAAATAATAATAATAATAATAATTATAAACCCAAAACCTTTTCCAAAATAGTTTTTGACCTAAACTTCTCTCCTACCTTGGCAATCGTTTCATCTTCACTGACGTGCAGGTACTCCAGGTAGTGCAGGGCGTAACGCTCTATAGGAGTCAGCTACAGAGAACAAATAAAGAGATGTATTAAGGAAACGAACAACTAAGTCAAATGATCCCATCAATACTACAAAAGCATGATCAGAAGGAGCCAATCATCCATTCTTTGCAGCCAACAAGATTCATTTCATTTTACAAGATCTCGGTTAGTTTTTAATGATGTAAATAATGTCAGCATGTCGTGTGCAGCTTCTGTGAGCAAACTGTTGCTTTCAAAGGAACAAAAATGGCTAACAATCAGCCCTCAGCTGTTTCGGCTGCAAGGGAAATGGAATCAGCCATAAACACTCATTATCAGTGCACTCCTAATCAATTCAGGTTGCTCCTGGTCACCTGCTCCATGACTGCTGTGAGCTCCTCTAGCTGGGAGGCCTCCTCTGTTGCCTCGCCCTCATCCTCCAACTGCTCTTCTCCTTTCACCATCACTTCTTCTCTGCCCTCTTCCGCTCTCTCGTCCTCCTGCTGCTCGTCCTCGGAGTGAAGTGTCTGCAGGGTGATGGTGTTCAGGGCCTGTATGTATGGTCTGGCCACATGAGGAGGGATCGATTCTGCTGGAGACGGATCCTGATGCAGAACCACAAACTCCTCCACCTTCTCCCCAGAGCCTGCCTCCACCTCAAACAGGTCCTGAATGGTGCGCTATAAAAACGAAAAGGGGAACTGTTAATCAAAGGAATTAGAAAAAGGTACATTTGACGTTATAAAATTGAACCACTTGCACACTACAAAGAACAGGTAGCCCCCAACACAAACGGTTGTAGTTCCTCAAACGCAGCCCTTTTCAACATCTATGATTTTTCTTTTCAAACCAATGACGCACATTTGTGTAAAGCCCTGTCTTCGACAAGCGAAGGTGTTTCTGATCAGGCAGTGCGTCTTGAGCCTTAACAGTATGAGCCACTGACTCAAGTCGCCAAAGAGTTAACGTAGTGCCAGAAAGTGATTAGCGGCGAGTGGGAGAGACGTCAGAACGGTAAAACATTCCCTAAAACCGTGACAGCTAGCTTCTAAATATCTGTTCAGGAGGTCCACATTCTATATAACCCGAGTCCTGATTTCTTAGATGCACCAAAAGAATAAAGTGGATTTCTTTGAACACTGTCTTTAAGTTTCATTCAGTTTGACATGAAAGTTGCAGACTGCATCACTGCTCAGCCAGGGTTTGCTGCAGTGGCCCTAAATCCTTATGTTCTGCAAGATGTTCATGCCACTTACCGGTGTTGCATCCGATTCAGTTCCCACTCAAATTCATGTTCCCCTGTATAAACCCGAACCCTCAGAGTGCACTCACTGAACAAAAATCAACGGCAAGCATCACTGAAACTACAGAAAACGAGAAAAAAGTTTGAGAAAGGCTGCACGGACGAAAGGCTGACACAGTTGGTAACAATGGCCGTTTAACGTTAACCTTTCCTGAACCGTTTCGCTTTCCGGAGTTCCAGTGGTGCCTGCCATTGATGTCTATTCAGCGAGTGCGTGTGCCTGAGGGTCCGAGTTGTAAAGGGAAACGTGAATTGGATGCTAGACGGGCAGCTTTATAGAGACTCTCAGAGAATCTCACTTAATCTGTCCAACATCTTTATTACAAACTAAGATTAGATAAACTGGGTTATTTACAGTTGGTACAGATATCTGGCATATCGCAGCCTTGTGAGGTGGTGCTGGGGGTATTGAGCTCAACGAGTGAGTGTGGTTATTTCCTTGCTCTAGGCTCTTATGCTTTTATATTTATGAGCGGAGCACGAGTAGGGCGCCAGCAGGGGGCGGTAACGCTGGTTGACCGATTTGCATACCGTGACGTTTCATGGCACTTTGGTACCAAGACACGTTATCCGCGCCTATAGCAGAGTCGAACCAGCGGGGGAACTCACCACGATAAAAATGATGTTTTTGCAGTTTGGAAAGATGTGTTCACATTTTAAGCAAGGCTGGTATATTTTATTATTACAGAGCAGTGCATTTCAGCTGTTAATGAAAAAAGGGTCTTAGGGTGTAGTTATTCTTTAATTTAGAGTGATGCTTGGGTTGGCTTTAAAGCAGATTTGGTTAAAGTGCATAGTACTTAAAATTTTGATAAGAGAATGATGAATGCATTAATGTGATTAGTGAATTACTGAGACTTCTTGATATAGTCAGAGATAAGCATGTTATGTCTAATGTCTAGATGTTGTGGTCAGGTACCTGAGTGAGGAATGCGAGGGTGTAATCCGTGCCCTGTGCTGCAACCTCTCTGATCAGGTCCTTAGTGCCGTTCTTCAGCAACTTCTCCTCAATGGAGTTCCCACTCTCCAACCTAGGGAACATCAATCAACAAACATTAAAGATTTAATGAAGTAGCATTTCTGAGTCGGGAGAAAAACTTGCAGGCTGAAATACGGTGTGTGGGCTCACGCTACGATGAATCGCCCTGTAAAGCCAGAAAATCATCATTTATAAGTCAGAGGGGTCGGGTTGAGCTTTTCGTACCACATCATGTGTCTTTATGTATTAGCGTCACATGCACACGCTCAAATGCAAAATCAACACTATACTAATGAAGATAATATTATAAAAGATGATTCATTTGCATCTCCAGAAGACAGATCCTTCACCAAGTTATGACTGTATTCTCCTTTAACACTTTTTTTCAACGCACTCACAATAATAAAATTGCTAGAAAATGATGATCTACATGATGCATGCTATTACACATTTCCACCAGAGAGGTCTCCAAATCTCTAAAACTTAAATAGCATAACCCAAAGATTAAAAACTAGTTTAAATATACAGGCTCCTGTGCTATTTACACACCTGTAGATGTGAATGTCCTTGGAGCGGCCAATCTTGTCACACCACTCCTGTGTGCGGGCATCCATGCTGGGGTTTAGATCAGTGTCGTAGAACACAATGGTGTCCGCATCAAACACGTGACCCACAGCAGAGCAGCAGCGATTTGTCAGGATGGAGCAGAAGAAGCGCTTGTTACGGTTAAACCGCTTCACCTGATCCTGACGGGGCGAGAGTTAAGAGGGAGAAAGTATTAGCTGAGCTCACACACAGTGTACCAGGCAGCATCATCTGAATTCTTATACTCACCACAGACAGACTTAGAAACTGTAGCAAAACGCCCAATTGTGTGAATAAAAACAGGAAAATGTTATGTGCAGAAAAGCCAGGAGGTTAAGATGATGCACCAAAACAGAGTCTACATGCATGCATAAAGAAGTTTCAGTAAGGCAAAAGAAGACATGCTGAGCTGTAGCAGAAAGAACACAACAACCCTATAAGCAGTCTTGTGTGTTAGCATCTCTTAAGGCCCTGTCTGGAATTGTATCCAGTAGGGAGGGAAGAGAGCTCAGTGTTTTACCCCCAAAGATAAAGCCCAGACACCTACACAGCCTCAGAAGGGCCAGGAGTTGGATAGGGAAATAAGCGCAAAGCAACGTCAGGTGAAAAGCAAGAGAGAGGCAGAAAAAAAAAATCTAAATCCACAAATTTTGCACAAAATGCAATACAATATTTTTTTATTTTGTAAGATAATGACATCATCACACTAAATAATTTTATTTTCATAGAGGAACGCTTACTGTTCTCCTTTTCCTTGTCATAAAGCTTGTTGGACCTGATTATTGTAGTGACTTAGAAATGTTACACAGATAAATCTTTTAAAAATTTTAACCATGTCAAAGAAATCAATTCTCCAAAAGGAATAAACAAATAAATTAAATAAAAATGAACTGGTGTGCCAGTTAATTGTAAATAATTTCTGAAAGTACTGTGCCCTGGGCAGATACTCTTGCACCATATCTTGCTTTAGAGCACCAATGTACATGATATAAAAATACACTCCATGTTGCACTTATTACAACTTGAGAGCCATAGAAAACTTTTCTATAGGACACACCAGGGTATATGCACGATAACAAGAAAATTTAACTATATTATTTCTTTTTGAAAAACTTCTGAATACCTGTCTTTCCTCGAGGGACAGACTCTCATCTAGGCGCACATAGGTAAGATGGCGATGATCTAGAAATGCCTCCAGAATATCCAGCATGCTGGCCATCTGAGTGAATATGAGCACTCTCCTGTTTTCCGCCTTCAGCTTGTGCAGTAAGATAGACAATGCCTCCAGCTTTACCTACAGACACATAAACACCAACAACACACTTAACTGTCACTGTCAAATGTAGAAGAAGTCTTCTTCAGTTCAAATGACAAGGAGAAACAAACTTATTGGTGATTCAATTAAACTCCCAGGAAACACAGAGCACAATATTGAAAATGTTTGTCTGATATTTGAGTGTTGTATGATCAGATCTGTTTGAGAACTGTGTGGGTGTGGCTAATAATCAGCTTGACTGACAGCTCTCTGGACCAAACTCCTAGCCTTGAATGACTTGTTGTCCTCCTCCTCTTTCTCTTCGGAGATGAGAGCAACAAACTCTTCCCCCGAGTCAGAGCCATCTGTGGCCACACAATGCAAAGGCACGAGGCTGGTGTCCGGGAAGCAACATCAAGCTGGTTGCCCCAGCTACCTCCATGGTGAGGGAGTGACTCGCTGTCGACATGTTGCTTTCAAAGCAGAGCACAGGACTGTAGGTAGCTGTCGGTGGCTAATGTTTGGAGACAGGCTAGCCAAAACTCCTCCAATTCGATGAGGTGATGACTGAGCAGCTAGTGTTCGGTGACTGAGTGGTTAGCTCTGGGAAGAGTTCAGCTAGTCTGTTAGCTGCGGTCACCGCATCGAAGGAGGGCTTACTTCTGAGAGCAAGAAGAGGTTTAGACTGATTTCACAACGTTGTGCCGTGGATTATCAGGCATGAGTGGAACCCTCCTCCAACATGCATGCATCACATTTGCCAGGCAGTCACAGCTGGTGTAAAGAACTACAGCTTCTGAGGACAATGCAAGGGACACGTCCTATACTGAGATACCGAAACGAGTGCTTGAAAGAGAACTCAGATTAATGTTCCCTGAGGATTTAATAGTCTATAGATTTTCTTGCACAGATATAAATAACATGAATTCTACCACACAGTTAACTAAATATTTCTAATATGATTTCCACTACAATTACTGCAAAATTTATGTAGTCTCATTTAAAATTTTGAATAACCTCGGTCAAACAGTTTTGTTGATTTTCTATATTTCACATTTACAAACTATATGACATTTTTCTGCAAATTTTGGGGCACAATTTCTATTTCTTGCATATTTCCTTTTTAAAGTTTTACATATTGGGGGGAAAAAAGAGAAAAAAATATGCCTTAACTTTTTTTCCCTCCCAATATGCTAAAATTAGCACATAAATGTGCATTTAAATCTTCAAAAATGTGTTCTCTGTTTAGGATGTGTTAACGTATTTCAGAATATCAACAAAACATTTAATTTGACCACCCAAACCCTTGCACACGACTGCATATATGACTTTCATTTTAGGTTAAATCTGTACCCAGGAAGAAGAGCAAACACTGAGCGAAAAAGCTAAATTAATGAAACAACAGCCCAATTACACATTACAGAAGAACAGACCCGATGCACTTCGGATTCCTAACATTCTTTGGCCCATTAGAGGTTATGTAATGTAAAACAAAACCAACCCGAGTCCATCTCCAGCATGTGTTTATCAGGGAGCTCGAACAGCGAAGGGCAGGCCAGACTGTGGACCTCCAGATTATAAGGGGCGGACGCTTTCCGCAGCTGACGCACGAATGACTTCTGTCTCAGGCTGTAAGATGGTGGAGGATTGGATGCATAAAGCTGAGGGGTCGGGGCTACAGCAGCAGGAAGTACACAAGACAACCTGCAAGTAAAAGAAATAGATTAAACCTAATCATATATGTGTCTAACTTAAATAACTGCTTTAAAAAAATCCCTGAGCTTTTAGCATATTAGGTGCAAAGAAGGTAGCACTAAAAGTTGACTATATGTAGTGCCTTGCAAAACTATTCAACCTCATTAAAAGTTATGCAAATTTTCTTGATTACAAATGACATTGACATATACTTGATCAGGCAAAGGCAGGAAAAGAGAGCACACCTCTTCATCAGGCTGTCCCCGGCCTGCAGCCTGTCTCTGTGGGACAATAGAGCCGAGCGGAGTGGCTCCACAGTGGAAACATCGTCCTGCTGGGCTTTCAGGCAGGCATCCCTGCCCGTCCAGAGCCAGCGTGAGTGTTTAGGAGCGAAGAGAGAAGCAGCGGAGTGTCCTTCAGTCACAGAGCAGGCCTCGAGTAGGTCCATCCCATACAGCACAGAGCGACTAACACGCCGCTCATTAATGCTCAGCAGATGAGCCAAACGCTCCTTCAGCTGTCGACTCCTCTTCTCATTTGACTCCTGAGGAGAAACACAACAGCTCTCAGTTCAGTCATATCAATATACAGCCTTCAACAAATTCTCTAAACAAAACATTCAACAGACTGCTCAGCAGGCAGAGGAGTGAGGCTGTCTCCATACTTAGAAGCTTCTAATGTAATTGCCATTTTCAACTGGTGATTTTTCTTTTCTTTTGACCATCAAGGAAACACGCTGATACTATCTTCAAAGAAATTTTATTGATATTATTGTCCATGGCAATAGATCTTATGATGTAGATGCCACAGACAGACAGTAGGTTGAAAAAGAGTGGAGTACTCCTACAAGACCAAAAATGCAGACCATTTAAAGCCATGAGGCAAAATACAGTCTCGTTCCTTAAAAAATGATTTCAGAAGGAAAAAAAAAAAAAGCTACGTTTTACTCACTTGTGATGTGGCATTAGTTGACGGCTTGGTGTTGGTGCCTGCATCAGTGGCAGCGGAGGTTGTTACTGCCGCACCAGAACTCACACCAGCTGATTTACATAGACATAAAAAAGCATACTAGTCAATTGCAAAGAAGGAAATCTCAAAATCTGATGATCGTTTATGAATTTATTCAATGCATTCAATCCATTGCTTTTAACCTAAACAAACAAGAACTCTGAACACAATGAACATACTCACCCTGCGGTGGTGTGGACGTTACAGGAGGAACAACACCCTGAGCGCCTGTGGAGTTTTGAACAGGCACAGCCTGAGGCACGGCCTGCATCACCATGGACCCCTGCTGTCTGAGGATGGGCTGCCCCGGGGCCGACACGATCTGGAGAATATTGCCTACAGGACGAAGGGCAGTGAAAACAGAAGAGAAAATGTTATAAATGCACATTATCCCACTGTATACCTATGTGTTCCTCTGTTCACGCAAACCTGATTTAATCTGTCAAGTAACTGATTAGGTGAAAACAAGTGTTACAAGATGAGCTTGTAAAAACATGAGAAATCCAGGCATGAACTAGGGATGAGCACACGTCTAAATTTAGGCCTAAATATTAAGCTCTCTCAAATTACAATTAGTCTCACACAATTTTTAGTGGAAAACTAATAGGAATAACAATCTGGGCAATCGGAAGAAAACCTTATATCTCCATTTTTGTCGTTTTGCAGATTTTGACACAATTTGAAACAGGCCTGTTGTCCTTTATTTTGCGTGTAAATTTAATGATGAATGAACTAAAAGAAACGGCCCAAAATTATATGTAAAAAAAAATCTGGTTCCATTGACTTACATTAAACATAAAGTATGTTTGTTACTTCTTCTGTAAAGTTACCATTTTGGAAATACAAGGTTTTCTTCCGACAGCAGCGATATCTATGTTTTAAAGTGAATATTTATGTTTTCAAGATCTGAACAGCAGGTTTGCCTCTATCTATCAGAATGGACTGCATTCACTTAAAGTACCTTGCAGCTGGAGAGGCTGTCCAGTGGTGAGCTGACGCAGCTGGCTGGGGGACAGTGTGAATTTATTGCCCTGGAACTGCAGCGTGACCGGCGTCTCGGGCTGTGCAATCCGATTCTGTGCTCCAGTTATAGACGCCAACTGAGCCACCTTTACCACGTCTCCACCTTCAGCACAGGAGGAAAATCAGACTGGAGATTAGAGAAGAACTACAACTTTGTTCAAGACAAAAACACAAGAGACATTAGTTGTGAAGTGAAGAAGCAATAAGAGCATGCATATTCAGGGTGGGTTAAAAAGGAAGTGCCCAAGTTGAGAAGGAACTTCTTAATCCCTACCCAAAATCCCAGAGTAGCAGTTACCAAACTGTTTGAGAGTAAAGTCAATGCTTCACCAAACAAGGTATGAGTAATTAAGAAAAGAACTGTACTTTTCAAGTTCAGTTCATAACAAACTCACAAAATGTTAAGATTCACAGGGATTTTTCATGGTACAGGTGTACACGCACTACGTGCACCTCCAGAGTAAAGCTAACCTTGATGAACTCACTGAGATCCTCTCGTAGAATGTTGCAGTGTGGAAGATATCTAAACCATCTAGTATTGGTGATATACCACCCATAAATCCAACCCTAAACTTACACACCTGACCCAATGAATTAAAGCCTTAGGGAAAATGCTGAATATTAGAGCTAGGTGTTCTGGAACTAAACTCTCTATGGTGGCAGATCATCAGTACTGGATACCTACAACATACAGACAACAGACTAAGACATTTGATGGGACGAGTAGGGTCACTGGTAATCAATGAATCGCCAACAAAAGACGGTCAGCTGTCAGTTAAAATAATCAGCTAATATGTGCATCATTGCTTTGCACCATCTTTGTTTTATTTGTACCATAATGAAAAGACCATGCTTTTTGAGCATTTCCTCTATAGCTATCCTGGCAGATTATTATCCTATGCATTTCTACATGGCTATCCAGACAGTGCTCCGAATTTACAAACAGTAATATTATACGCGAACATAGAGGACAAAGTGGTGGGGATACAGAATCAATGATTGGAACAGGGCACGGTTTGGTAACCGCCAAACTCTTAGGAGATATAGGAGGGTAAAACAAGCCTGAAAGAAACACACAGTCAGTTAAAAATGCAAAAAAAAGCTGTTTCATCAAAAGATGTCTGCATAATTAAAAAACAGTCAAGAAAGTGAAATTTAAAGAGCTGGGAAAGACAAACAAACAACGTGTACTGTGTAGGGAGTCATGCTCACATGCTTGGTGCACAAAACCCTTTCCACCTCCCCACCCCGCAAAACTGGAAGAAAATTTGATCAAATACAAGTGAAACAATAAGGAGCAAAGCTACTTGGGGCAGGTTCCTTGAGCTGAGCTGGACAAAGAAAAGGATTAGTGTGTAAACTGGCGCTGAGGGAGAAAAAGGGAAAACTTAAAGGAATAAAAATACGTGGTTAAATGAACAAGAAAACGGGAGCTGAGAACAGGCCAGAGAGGAATACCATGCAGTTGACGTCAAAGACATGAGAGACTAAAGCTGGGATCCTGTTGAGGTGGTTTATCTGTACTTTGAAATAACAACCCTGGCAGCTGATCTGATATGTATCAGGGAGGGGCCACGAGCACTCGACTAACTAAGCACCTGTAACCTAACCAACTACTAGCGGAGTAAAACCCCACCAAAAAATCTGCAAATTGTGTTGCCTGTGACTGAACTGGGGAAAAATATTAGCAATGCAAATTTAACCTGAAGCTCTAAACCTATGGCATGGTAGTGTAATCCTGGTACCAGAGAAAGTACTGCATTTAACTGACATTCAAACAAACCAGAACGTTGTTTCTGTGCAACGTGCCAGGAAGGGCAACTATCAAATCAGTGCTACAACAAAAAACACAACCCAATGAAACAAACTGCAAAAAAACTCCCCTAAGTGCCAATTACTTATATTAGCCACCTGTTTAGTTAATGCAAAATGACTAATTTAGTTCTGCATCACCAGAATCCCTTCAGTAGTCTCACATTTCAGGGTTTTTTTATTTCAGTCTTCCGAAGCTGTGCTTGGGCACGTGACAGGACTGGTTTGTGAGGGACGGTCGGTGTAGAAGGGGAGGGGGCCACTTACTAGGCAAGCGAGCCTGGGCCTGGGGGCTGAGGACCAGCCTCTGAGAGAGTAGGCTGGGCTGCAGGGGGTGGGTAGCTGCAGGCTGGGCAGCAACACCAGACCTGGGGGGTACAGCACCCACCCCTGCCACAGCCAAAGCAAGACTGGTAGAGGTGGGGGCAGAGGGAACGGCTGCAACGGGGAGTCCTGGTGAGCTGGTAGCTGTTTGGGCTAGGGAGAAGGAAGCAGAACTGGTTGATTCACTGGCTGCAAAGGACAGCAGACTATAAGTTTAAAAAAAATAATTAATGTAGTATGCCCATGGTCCACAGCAAAACATTTGGATGTCCTTTGTTTTAATCATGTGCAAAAGGTACTGTTGGGGTACCTGTATTAATTTAAATGAAAATAATGCAGTTAAGCAAACAATTCAAAAGAAAAAACTTGTTGATTTATGGGGGAAAATCAGGGTTTTATGAAGTTGTTTTCAAGCTTTCGTGGTTAACAAAGAAATTAACATTGTACAATTTAGTTCACATGATTTGTCTTGGTGGCAAAAGTCAATCCAAGCATATCATACATAAATGTGAAATAAAGCACTGTAACCAGAGAAGTAACATACAGCATGTGTCTTGGGAAATCCTGCAAAAATACAACACTACAAATAATGAAGCATGCATGATACACACCAAAAGGCAACCAGATAAAAGGTCATTTACATGCAATAAAAGCAAACATACTACTGCAGTTTTTCTGTTAACTTCGGAATACAACAATACAGAAGTCATCCCATACTGAGCTCTGTATGACTGGCTATTTAACATTACCACATACACCGATCAGGCATAACATTATGGCCTTGTTTCTATGCTCACTGCCCATTTTATCAGCTCCACTTACTATATAGGTGCACTTTGTAGTTCTACAGTTACAGACTGTAGTCCATCTGTTTCTCTGCATACTTTGTTAGCCCCCTTTTACCCTGTTCTTTAGTGGTCAGGACCCCCATGGACCCTCTCAGAGCAGGTACTATTTGGGTGTTGGATCATTCTTAGCACTGCAGTAACACTGACGTGGTGGTGGTGTGTTAGTGTGTGTTGCGCTGGTGCGAGTGGATCAGACACAGCAGTGCTGCTGGAGTTTTTAAACACCTCTATGTTTAAAATATCCAGCCAACAGCGTCCTGTGACCACTGATGAAGGACTAGAGGATGACCAACACAAACTGTGCAGCAGCAGATGAGCTATCGTCTCTGACTTTACATCTACAAGGTGGACTGACAAGGTAGGAGTGTCTAATAGAGTGGACAGTGAGTGGACACAGTGTTTAAAAACTCCAGCAGCACTGCTGTGTCTGATCCACTCAGACCAGCACAACACACACTAACACACCACCACCACCACATTAGTGTTACTGCAGTGCTGAGAATGCAGAGAAACTGATGGACTACAGTCTGTAATTGTTGAAATACAAAGTGCACCTATGTAGTAAGTGGAGCTGATAAAATGGACAATGAGCGCAGAAACAAGGATAATGTTAAAATCATAATGTTATGCCTGATCGGTGTATAAACTTACATACCTGCCTCTTGTTCATGTAACAGCAATTATTAGTACATTTTTCACAAACAAGAATTAGAACTTTTACTTGGGGGAATATGGACCATTGTCCCATTTTCACTCCACACTTTGCAAATGCAAACATTTGTTTTAAGCTTATTAAAATAAAACTACAGTACAATCGCTAATAAAGTGGGCAAGCCATGTTCATACATAAAGAACATATCTTACTTGGAGTAGATGAAGTGGTAGTGACAGGTGATTTGCCCCTGGGCTGGTTGCTCTGAACTGCAGCAGTAGGTGCAGTCGTGGTGGTGGGGGCAGTTGTGGTAGCAGCAGTAGAGCGCTGGGCTTGAGTACTGCTCGTCAGGGGCAAAAGACGCCCCTCTGGTTTAGTACCATACTGCACTGGCTGGAACAGCCTGAAACAATGAATAAAACATCATGTCAACGTCCATAATTGTTTTTTGGTTTCTTTCAAGGACATAGAATATAGAAGCATATCAGTATCAAAATTAAAATGCATATGTAATATGTAAAATGGCAAAATTCAAATTCAACACTGTGATTTTAATTTGCCATTCAGTGTACTAGATTTGATTTACAGAAGGATTTAGATGCTTTACGAGCAGCTTTATTTAAATTAAAATGTATTTCCAGAACTGCATATTTATATTTATATAAATAAAATGTCAATACTGCTTCACCAAATGGCAAAATAAAACTGCAGTTTTGAAAAGAACATGTACTGGAAGGAGGGAGGCTTATGCTACAAACACACCCACACAAACAACTGGGCTTCTTTTTGCTGCTAATAGGTTTGGTGCAGTTTTTGGGGGCTTATTTAGCTAAAAGACCAGCCTGGCTAAAGCCAAACCAATTTGTATTCTGTATATACAAATATACAGAAAGAGAGAGAGGCAGTGATGATTTCGATGAACACCGTGCGCTTAAAATACAAGTTAAAGGTCATTTATGACAGAGATTCAACTTACACAGGTACAGCTTATACAGATAAAGTTAAGCACTCAACTAATTATAAAGTGTCCCTTCACTTCACTGATCCCTTGTTTTACACATACAGCACTGGTTTCAGAGATACGTCATCTTTTATGGTGCAATGAAACAAAAGAAGCCCTGCTGCACGCTACGCTACCTGTAGCGTACTGTGTTCTCCTCTAACGCCAGCATGTATCATATAAGCACTGGAGAGAATGACAGAACACTTTTGTAAATGGTGCATCAACTTTTTTTTCTTCATAATCGTCATCAATGACTAACTCTGATGATTAATTGTTGCAGCCCTACTTCATTTAACTGAACTCATGGACGTCTTTGTTATTGGTAAATAAGGTCCAGAGTACAAAAACTCAGCAATGGAAAAGGCATTGGGTTGCGTTTCCTCATGTTTAGTACCTCATGGGTTTGATCTTGCAGGGTTTGGGTCTTGGTGGAGGATCAGGAGCGCTGTGGATTTCCTCAATGAGCTGCTGGGTCAGTCTGAGTTTGGGCAGAACCTCCTTGGTCTCATAGCGGGTCAGTCTGCCCTCGTTATTAATCAGGTCAAACAGAGATAAGTCCACAGTCTGGAAGGGATTTAGAAAAATAAATACATACATACATACATACATACATACATACATGCATACATACATATATACATTTCCTTAAATTCTTTATTTTGAAATATACTGGACTAAATTTGATTATTCTAAATTCACAGATCTTAACAACAACAAATGAAATGACAAATACAGTGGAGACCAGAGACCAGAGATCATTTCATGCACATACGTGCAACTAATGCTAAACCAATATACTACTAATTCATTAAAACTAGCAAACATTGAGTTTTTTAAAGGATTATCATCTAGATAATCTGCGAAATTCCCACATATGATGCACTAGTATTGTCTCCTTAAATGTCATAAAACCACATTCAGGAACATGATGCTATTTTGAACAGCAATCAGACAAAACTGGACATTTCAGAAACTCTGTTTATTTGAAATTTCAACATTGTGAGTGTGTTATTTACTAGAAATGCACCAATATGGAATTTCTGGAACGACAGCATAATCAATATCCTGACCGTGGCCGAAACCTATATTACAGATAATAGATTGTATTAATTCACTTGCATTTTAAAACAAGTCCATACTATACTATACATATGAAGCGCAGTGAGTTTTAAGACACTCAAGACTGTTCACGGTCTAATTTTACATAGTCATGACTGTAGAGTAGGTATGTGCAATATCATGTTTAAATCATTAACAACATAAATTGTCAAAGTATGCCTTTCTGAGCATATCATGTATATCATCAGCACTTAATGCACACTGACCTGAAGTGTGTTTCATTACAAATAAAGTATTATTACATTTAGTAAGCATTTACAAAGTAAAACTGGATTTAGTGCAGCACAGTATGTAAAACGCTGAAAAAAATCATTGTAATTATTGTACTTTTGGCAGTTTATTTTAAATGTGGCACTACTGGTGATGTATATAATGCATTGTGAAAATGTCTTGAGGTACTGCGACCCCTCGCCACCCCTAGCCATTCACAACAGTGGGTGAATGTACAGAAGTGCTGTTTTTACCCAGAGGGAAACTCCAGTGTGAACTGTTGGTGCAATCCACTACACTATTTATCTGTTTAAGTTTAAAGAAAAGGAAATTCCCACACTTTGACTACACAAGTGTCAGTGCATGTGCTGGGGGGGGAAGGGTACTAAATTACTGGTTGGCCATAATTCCAACACGGCAGTGATGACATCGATGAATGTTCCTTCACTTCACTGATCCTGCAGAACCCTTGTTTTATGCATACAGTACAGTAGTGGTGTTAAATAGAACGAAAAAAATCTGACAAGTGAATCATATCAGTCAATGAAGTGCTGTTTTGTTTAACTGCAACTGTAAGACTTGACTTAAAACTGATAACGAAGACAATTTCTTTTTGGTCTGGCCCTAACTGACATGTGCACAGAGACACAAACCTTCCACTGGTCCTGTTGCAGGGCTGTGAGCAGCAGGGATGGTGTATTGTACTGCAGGGGTTGGCAGGTATAGGAACTGGCTGTATCTCTGGTCTGGATCAGGTCTGGGTGGTTGCAGATCCTTTGCAGCTGCATAAGGACCTGCAGAACGCTCACGAAATGTCCGGTCTTCAGGGCCTCCTGAGAGCTACAAGGAGGTCAAAAATTTCAAGTCAGGTCATGTAGTAGCAGCAAATACATAGATTTAGCTTATATAGGTATAGTCCAGTACTTCTTCAGCTGAGTTACTGTTTCTCAATCCTGATCCTGCAGAATTCCTGCACTGCACATTTTAGTATTCACCTGGCTCACAACCAGGGATGAAGGACTTAAACAAATACCACATCGCGGTGTTACTACTACATATTGCAACTGTGATACGCCTTGCTATACTTTGAAAACCGACTAAAAGTTTTCAGTAGTGATTGCTACTGGCATCAAAGTTTAGTCCAAGACTAGATAAAATCTCTGTCCACGAAAAAGGCCCTCTAAATGGTTGACACATCTGAATTATTGTGTTTGCTGGATCATATGAATGCTTTCATTTGTCAGAATTACAGAACATTCATCAGGAACATCTGTAAATGGCCAACAAGCTTGCAGCACACAATGAACAATCTGGCTGGTCGTTCCTGTATTGGAGGAAACATGTGTGCCGCACACTGGACTGGGACTGGGAACAAGCTGCTGTATGCGACAGTTATTTCAGCATATTACTGAGCAAATATGAAGAAATACCTGCTGTAAACACTCATTATGGTGTTCAGATAAGATGAAATGCTTGGGGAACAAAAAACTATAATAAAATCTGTGCCTCAACAAACCTTGGCTGTGTGAGGATGTCCTCATACATGCTCTTCTGTCTGGCAGAAAGACGGCACTTCAGGATGTGCTCATACTTCTTAGGCAACTGTTTCTCCACGTCTCTTTTAGAGCGGCGCAGAATGAAGGGCTGAATCATCTGGACAACAGGAGACACAGAGAAAGGGAGAAAATTGGAAACAGTCCCGTAATCTCTTTCCTGCATTGAAAATCTTCACTAACCTCTCTGTTATAGTATTCACATTCTTTGTATTCTAGTGCTGAACAAAAATGTTGAGAAACTGAGCTGCAGCAGCTTTGATGACTCTATTTAACCTAATTACCTCATAAGTCCTGATGTTTTTTTTATAGTTCTATCTTTTAAATATTTCACTTTGGTAAAAGCTGCAATCTGTCACTATAAAACATATCAAGTTAGAATGAATGGCATTTAACTGTTGGGAGAAAAAAAACAAAAAAAAACAAAAAAAACAAAAAAAACCAAAAAAACACAACACCGACTGCCTCAGTCGTACATAACACTTCCCAGATGCTTTAGGCTTTTACTATAAATAAGTACAGTTTGTAAACACCTGCAGTTCTTACTCAGCCTCTGATTGGCTAGTACAGGTTGCCTTGAGTATGCCTTGATATCGTCAGTACTTAAAGAACACTGATGAGCTACATGTTTTATTATGAAAGGAGCATATTTGGTCCTGTTTGACTGTATTTTGAGCAGCGTAGTAAGTAAAGTATTTAAAAAAAAACAAAAAAAAACAACATTTCTACTCAAAGTTTTAGATAGTACTTTTGATAGTAATGCCTTTTTGTCAGTCCCTACATAGGATGTCAGCAACATCATGTATCATTAAAAAATTTCCTGAAACATTGCAATATATTTTTGCCATAGCACCACCACTAGTTGTGATTGTGTTTGTGTGTCAATCAGTTGGTTAGATCTGCTCAAACTGCAAGACAAGCAATCAAAATTTCTGACATGTCACATCGCTACCCTCCTCACACGGTCATAAGGCAGCCAATGACGCTGAAATTTGACCCGATTATGAAATTTAAACCATTCCAGTACTCCTCACCGCACATCACTCACTTCAGCAGCTTTATCACATATAACGGAGCTCTCTCTCTCTTTGTCTCTGTGTGCATGCCTACCCTATGTAATCTGATGACCAGCTTGTGACAGTAGTCCTGGTTCTGGTCCGTGCCGGGTTTGACGGGGAAGTCATGGTACGCGCGTGTGATTCCAGGCAGGAGGAAATGAATCATAGTCCACAGCTCTCTCAGAGTGTTCTGCAGAGGGTTGCTGATCAGCAAGATCCTCTGCTGACTGTTGGCCAATGAAAATAAACAGCGTTCATTCAATGGACAAACTGATCTTAGCCATTTGCTGCAATCAAACAATACAGAAACAGAGAACAACAGATAGAAAGAGAGATAGAAAGAGGAAGACCTCTTGATGTTGAAGATGGTTTCCCAGTGTTTTTCAGTCATGTTTTTGATCAGCTGCACCTCATCTAACACCAGATGCTTCCATCGTCTCTTCAGGAAGTGAGTCTGGTCCTTTAGCAGCACTTTATATGCTGTTATGCACACGTGGAAACTGTTGGGCTCACCCCACCACTGCAAAGAAGACAACCAAACAAAGAGGGACAAAAACAGACAAAATGGGAGATTAGAAAGAGAAGAGCAGGGGGTGAAGCTATATGAATATGTGAAGAGCCTTTTCAGATTAGTAATGACGTCAGATTGACGATTTCTGGAGCAGTGATTTAGCCAAAGCACGTACTTTCCGCTTGTATCTGCGTTCTCTCTTGCTGCCCAGATATAGGAGGATTTTGAGGCCGGGACACCAGCGTTTGAACTCCATTTCCCAGTTCAGCAGTTTGCAGGTCCTCACCACCACCAGATGAGGCCCCCAAATACCTAAAATAACCAAGTATAAACCACAGTACGTCAGTGATTCTGTTCTTTAGACTTCAGCAGAAGAAAAAAAAATAAAAAAGAAAAGGTTCAATAACCTAATCAACTGGAATATTTACATTACACCAATTTCTAACAGTACTGGTGCCACTTCCTAGCACCAGAGATCTACCACTCTGTATAGACTGGTATTGAGCACTGTAAAACATCAAATTAGAACAAACCTTCATGGCAGGCAAGGCGTGCAAGGTAAGCCACAGTCTGGACAGTCTTGCCCAGGCCGGTCTCATCCGCTAGGATGCCATTGAGGTGTTTGCGGTGCAGGTTGGCCAGCCATTCCACACCAACTACCTGGTAGTCCCTCAGAGAGCCATGAAGGAGAGAGGGCACAGGGAGTCGTGTCTAGTGGGACAGAAGAACAAGAAAAGAAAATTAAAATAAAATAATAGTAAAGTCACCAAAGAATCAGGAAACCAACCATGATAACAAATTGCTTTCTTAAGCCTCAGAAATCGCCAGCACTCTGTAATTTACTATTGGTTGTTTCTCATAGGTCACTGGAACAAGCACAGATTCTAAAAACTTCAATCAGTGCAGTGTTTGTAAGAAAAAAAATGATATATTTAATTATGATTTAAATTTGATTACTCATGCTCATGTCTTTATTACTGGATTTAAGCGTAAGCATGCAAGTGCAAAATGACTCACAGTTGGATTAGTCTTTGCACTGCCTTTAGGCAGGATGAGGTCTGTTGCCCTGGAGACTTCTGCTATATCCTTTAAGGGCTTGCCGTCGGTTCCAGAGGAGCTGCTGGTCCGTTCGTTTCCACGGTACTGCTCGTCACTCAAGAGGGAATCAATCAGAACCGCCTCGTGGGGACTATCCAGTGGAGAACTATCCATATCTAACAAGGCAGGTAGAGTTAAACAAATTAGATTCTTGGTTCACAACCTGAAATATGTACTTGCTCCACAGTAGGGCTGCACAATATGTTATGTAATATATGTTTTTGCAATACTTATATTATTATTGCAATATTATACCATGTGCTGTGAGCATCCTGAATGGTGATGTTCCAACGTGCAGGAAAAGAAAAGTAAAAATAAGAAAAAGTACCTTCAACTTCGTCTTTCTCCTCATCCTCACTCTGGCAGGCAGGCTGGGGCCACTCAAACCCTTCAGCGTAGGCACCAGCATACTTCTTTACCAGCGCTTCCAATGGCACCTCAGCTATAAGTGAGTCACAGAACATCAAGTTAAGCAAAAATTAACAAGGTGGAAAAATCACACAAATGTATAGAACATGGAGTCTAAAATGCACACAAAAATGCAAAAGACTGAAATGCATTTGGCTGCTGAAAGCTTTTACTGTATGCAAAATGCTGTAAGCACTTCACCCTAAAACACAAAGGAAGAACCTCTTTGCATCCATGCATGAGACTGACCTTCCTTGGTGAGCTCTGCAAGCTCTGCTTTTTGGTCAGCAGCTACTTCCATAGCTTCCTGCTCTTCTATGGTACTCTCCTCATCTTCAACTACAAAAGCACAGCATGCAGAAGTTATTTTACACAGACACACAAAAAAGCATACCATAAGTACACACTTCCACAGCACAAACCTTCTTCATCTGACAGTGGCGTGCTCGTCTTCCTCTTTCGAGTGGTGCTGCCGGACCCCTGTTAAAACAGAACAAATTTGACAAGTCAAAAACTTTTCAGAAGGTGAGAACTTAAATGGCTTGTTTTTACCCTTTTCAACATGCTCTTAAATGTTTATAAATTGCAAATACACTAGCATATCGCTGTTGTCAGAAGAAAACCTCGTATCTCCAAAACAGTTACTTTACAGGAGAAAGGAGAAAACCTTTTAATGTAAGTCAATGGAACCAGACTGGGTGATTTCTTTTGGTCCATTTATCATAAAATTTACAAATAATGCAAAGAGCAACAGGCATTTTAAGATTATGTCAAAAACTGAAAAACAACAAAAATGGAAATATGACGTTTTCTTCCGACAGCAGCGATATGCTTTGCATACATACTGTGATGCTGTTACAACCACATCACTACACATGCAGCCTTCTGAGCTTTGTAACAAGTACTTTGAAGGTCTAAATGAAAACGTAACGACTAAAAAGTATGATAATTAAGAGTACAAGTGTTCAATTTCAGTAATATATTTTAGATTTTATATAAATCTTCAACTTACAAGTACAAATCTTCCAAATTAATAGTTTTAAGCACAGAAATTAAGTACTGTTACTTAAGTATTTTCCACACATGGACAGAAACAAGAGTCTTTTACCGCTTTGCTTTCCTTCTCTGGATTCTCTCCTGAAGACTGTGCAGTTTTACTGTTCTGTCCTGGATTAACACAATCCAACAATCAGTTATGGTCAAAATAACTGCTGCTGATATTTACAAATTTAAAAAGGACTCTAAGATCAGAAACCGCTTTGAGAAACTTCACCTTTATTCCCTAATCTTTGGAGGCCGAGAGCTTTTTGTCTTTTGTCAGAGATCTCAAACCGCAGTTTAATTTCCACAACCTGGTGGCCAGACAGAAACAGGGAACAGGTAAAAGTCATATAATGTCTCCAGAATATTTCTTTAGAAAATCAAATGGCCTCATGGGACTGGGAAAATACGCTCAATGCAGAAGAATTAGCACATATAACATCGCTGTTGAAAAAAAGAATCGTTCTTAACTATAAAAGTACCAAAATTTCATTAATTATAAGCAAATATGGACAATACACGAGGCGGCACGCCTTGTTAAATTGTTAAAAAAAAATAATAGTTATGAGCACATGTCCAGTTTACCACTTGTTTTACCTGTTGGATGTTGGACCAAAAGTAATCCACCTCTCGAGCAATGGCACTGGCGATGTTCCTTAACCTAAGCTCCTCCTCGTTCTTCTCCCTCTCCATGGTTTTCTTCACCTCATCATGGTAACGGGCACAAGTGCGCACCAGCTACAAAACACACCAAAGAATCCGTCAGCTACAACTCTCAATCTGTATCTCACCATTGTTAGCTCTCATCTATATGTTTAAGCAGCTGTATTCTTGCACAGGGTAATATACACACACATTTTCCAGCACCTCTATAAAAATCCTTCAAATTTAGTGTTTAAGTGATCACCTTCTTGGCAGCAGCCATCTTCCAGCGCCTCTCCTGGGCAAAATCGGCAGCCATCCACTGCATCTCCTCCAGAAGGTAGTCCCACTGGGACTTGGGCCTGCTGGCTTCCTGGAGCTTGGGCAGCCGGCTTGCTGACCACTGGCCCTCCTTCCTCAGCTCCGCAATGCGCTGGTGCACCTGGCTCTCCTACAGCAGAGTGTGATAGATTCAATACTAAATACAGAACAATATACAAATTACACTGCTACATATTACTACACTATACTAAAAGGGTTCTTCTATTTACAAATACAATCTATTGCCAAAAAAAAAATGGAACCAAATGTGGCTTTGCTATGGCATCTCCCCAGAAAACTGCATCTCTATTTCTAAGACTGTATTAAAAAATCTGACATAACTCCTGACATAGGAGTTTTTGAAGTAGAAGATCTAGGTAATACAGAGGACAGCAATGCTTAAATCTGACGCATTATCAAAATAATGTCAGGCCTCTTGTGTCAGATCTTAACTCAAAAGCTACTCAAACGAACACTGCAACATTACTGCTATCTCTCATTAAAGTGGAATATCTGAAGCATAAACCTGCAGCAACAGTGATGCAGTAATGTAATGAGGGGTAATATGCTATTACACTTGGGCTTCACTTGAATAGTTCCTTTTCCTATCTCTTTCCCTCGATTTTTGTCTGATCCGGAGCCCATGGCCTCACTAAATATATTGGCAGAGCTGACTATCATACAGATCCACATGGCTACCAGATCAGGCTAAATCAAAGAAAGCCGATAGGAAAGAAAGTTCTCGTTCCGCTACTCGACACAGCCTACCAAATTCAAGTCAGTTCTTCTCAATTTTACTTTCATTACACAGGGGTTCAGTATTACGAAACATCGACCTGCTTTTCTGGTGCAGAAACATTAAGACAATAACACGAGTGCACATGTACCAAAGTCAAAATCCTTGTACTGTAACAACCCTGTGCCATAATGAAACTGCAGCAGATCCAAGTGTCTCTGCAGAACTCAAGAAACAGCTCTAATGGAATCTGTGTATGATAAATGTGTAATATAGAGAATATATGTTATGTAATATACATAAACTGAACATTCAACTGAAGAATTTGCACTCCTCACCAGTTTGGCCTGCTCAGCCTGCTTGTCCTGGGAGCTTTCCTGCATGTTCTGGCTGGCTGAGCCCTGACTCAGCCCAGACAGTTTCAGCCCTGTGGAGCCGTTGGAGCCAGCCAGTTTTGACTGTGTAGCGGGGGAGAGGCTGGGCCCAGCGCTAGAAGTCCGCACAGGAGCTGAAGGGTGGGGCGAGGGGAGGGAAGAAGGGGAGGCGAGTGGACTCGGGGACATGACTGAGGTGGACAAAGAATTGGACATCAGGCGCTGGACTGGCTGAGACACCTCCACTCCAGGACGGACAAGCGTGACAGTCTGAGGGAAAAGAGAAAAATAAGATTTAATTACAAAAGCCAAATAAGTCGTAGCTCTTTGCTAATTTACGATAAAAAAAAAAATTATGACAAAAAACCTTTAGTTCATTCAGCAGGTGTCTTGATAAATTCCTTCAAAACACGTAATGCTCTTCTCACCAAGCAAATAAATTTGACGCATTACTAACAATGTCCTGTGGAAACAAGAATGCATCTCCCCCCAGCCTCCTCACCGCCTGTCCTTGCTGCATGACCGGCTGCTGCTGTTGTTGCTGCTGCTGCATCTGGAGGTGCATCTGCTGCTGGAGTTGTGCCTGCAGTTGTGTGTGTGGATTGACTGCAGCGAGCACTGCCCCTGCCCCCTGAACACCCTGCAGCTTCACCTGAGCCTGGAGCCCAGCTGCCTGGGCCTGCTGCTCCAGCACCATGGGCTGAGTCTGGGACAGAGTGAGGGGCAAACCAGCCATGGGGAGACCAGCCTGGGGCAGCCGGCCGGGCAACTGCGGTGGCGGTGTGTGGAGGCTAGCAGCGTTCTGGACTGGAGGGCCTTTGGACGGGTCGTACTGCTGCTGGTTCTGTTTCTGCCCACCAATCTGGACTGACTGAGGGGTGGGGGGCATGCCACCTGAGAGAGAGAGAGAAATAAGGGGGAGAGGTGGAGAGAGAGAAAGCGCCAGAGAGAGGCAAGAGAATGGAGGGATAAGACAGCAAGAATGAAAAGGAAAAAGGAAGAAGGACAGATGAGGCAACAATGATGAAGTACAGATGGGAGTGAAGTAAAGAAGTGATGGGTGCAGAGGAGAAATGTAGAGAAGAATTGCCGAAGAAAAAGATGAGGCATTGAAAAATACAGCAATCTTGTTGTAACATTACTATAAAAATACGTAGGTTTGTTGAAGGAACTTCTAAAAGTTTTCTGAGAATTTTCAAAGCTCTTAAAAAAAATAAAAAAAAATACTCTCCTGCTTTATTTTACAAAATCCATGTAAAAAGCTTTCGACTCTATACAAAGCAGCCTAGTTGATTTCAATTAACTTTTAATGGGCGTGATGTTATGAATTACCAACAATGAGATACTCAGTGTTGGAAAAAGAGTGGTATTAAAATAAAATACTATCTATGTCACAATGACTACATATGAAATCATAGCAGATCTCACAGTCAAATGAATGAAAATAACTTTGTTACATGTGAAGAAAATAAAAACTATTATTACGTTGATACTTCTACCATGAATAACAAAATTAGTATCATGCAGTACCAAATTCTAGGAAAAAATATAAATAAACAATAAATACTAGGAGGGAAAAAAAAAAACTTAGAACTGCAAAAGACAAAAGAGGGAAATATTACATCTAAGCACAGACAAAAAAAGAAAACATGATGAGCATGCATGAAGCAGGTGTTATGCCTATTACATTTGCATTTACACAACTTATACTACGACACACAACAGAGCAAAGCAGGGGATAATAGCAGAAGAAAGACAGGGAGCAGGTTAGGCAGAAAGCAGGACAGTGCGGAGCTTACAGTGCACACTTAAAGACGCATCTCCATCAGCTACCATCTGCACTGAATACACCAATTCAATCCACTCTGCTGATACACTTATCAGATCTGACCTTACAGTGCAGTGTTCACCTTTAACGGTCCCTTTTAAGCTCCTTGTTAGCAAGCCACTTTGGGGCCTGCGCTATCTGGACTGAAGCATAGAGGCCAAGTCGTGACGGAAAGTTGTAGAAACCAAGAATGACTTCACGAACGGAAAAGATGACGACGAAGATGGAAGAAGAGAAACAAAAAGGACTTTCTAGGTGATGGGAACCAAGACTGAAAGTGCACTGAGAATCCAGGTTGACAACGCAATGAGATTGGGAAAAGGGGTGAAACCCGATGGGTCAGGGAAAGGAATGTGAACTATAAAATTCAAAATCAAAGAACCAAAAATAACAAAAAACAACAACTAGGTGATATGGGGTGTCCCCATGGAGAGACCGTGCCGAGGCTCATCGTCCAATGAGCCATCGATGGAACCGTAAAATTCCAGTATGGCTAAGAAGAACAGAAACGAATGAAGAAATTGCTCCATAGAACTAATGAGCAAATCATAAAGGAAAAACATAAACAAAACACGTGACGTGGTTTCTTCCCTTTCAGAGACTAGGTCTGCTTCCATCTTCTGCTGTATCTTCTGCCCAGCTGCCCCACTTGGGTTTAAGGAAAGATCTTGAGAGATCTTAAGTCTGAACTTGAAGTGTGTAGATCACAGTGAGTGGGTCGAGACTTGGGACAAATGTGAGTCATCTCTGGGGCACTTTGGGGGTGAACTCTGACCTCCAGCAGCATCTAAACAACGGACACAAGTGTGGAACTAGCCCGAGACGCAGCGGCGCTCCTACCTTGCGCTGTCGGCATAAGCTGCTGGAGGGGAACGCCGGGAGATCCTAAAGGAGCTACAACAGGATGCTGGAATATCATCCCATGGCGACCCACTTCGATCCGGGACCTCTTAGCCTGATCTGGGATGCAAAACACACAATTCCCTCAACACGCAAAAAAAGTAAGAAAATAAACCAAAAGAAAAGAAAAAACAAAAATGGAAAGAAAAAAAAACTGAACAAAACTGAAGACACTGGGCACACGGCAACGACGATCGCACACCAGCAGTCAGACATTAGGAAGCTATGGCTCCCCGTTTTGTGGAATTCAGGCTTCAAACACACAGAGCTGGGAAAAGATGCCGGAATATTGATTAAGCAGAAGCAAATTCAAGGAGGAAAAGAAAATGAAGGACAGAAAAAAAGGGAAAAAGGAGAAGAAAAAAAGGAAAAAAAGAAAAGAAAATTGTCCTGTGTTAACGCTGTTCTACCTGCTTGAGCCAAGGCCTGTTGCCTTTTGAAGGCCTCCATGTCCACTGGATTGGAGATGCTGCCACCTGCAGCCCCAGGATGAACCTGTGAACATTGCACAGAGTTTATAACAAATGGGAGGAAAACAGGACCCCATAATGTCGCACAAAACAAAAATCACACAGAAAATATAAACTGTAGTCACAATTCAAACTGGATCAGAGACTGTATGACTATGACTGTTGTCATCATAACTGACAGGGTACCATCACTCCAATAAGCCAAATGAAAAGAAGCGTGTGAAAGAGCCCCCAGACTGATGTTTTCAGAGAAGCGTCTCTCTGGTGGCCCACCTGGAACTGCTGTTGAGTCGAAAACGCTGCTGACACGTTGGGTGGGAGTTGGGTGGCTATGGCAACAGGAGTCACTGTCTGGCCATCCTTTCCAGTCACTACCTTCACCTGAGAGGTTGTCATAGAGACAGACGTAACGGTCATACAACAATAACAACAATGCTCTTAAACGGGAGCTCCGCTGTATTTTTTGGCATTTCTGTATAATTCAGTAGTTGAGATGCAAAAGTCATTCAGAGTGGTTTGATGTAAAATGGTTCACTGTAGAGAGACTCATTTCTTTACAGTGGTGGTGATAGGAACCAGGGGTCACAATGTCTACAGCACAAATATAGCCATTTCATTTACTATTCAAAACCACCAGTGAACCAACATGTGTCTCCTGAGTTTTTATACGCAGTGTTGATGGTGCTAAAATAGTGGAAAATCTGGAAAAAAAATTCTTCGGGCACTATTTTGTATCACCCTGCGTGTACCTCCCCATACTAAATTTGGGTATCAGGCTGCATATTTGCTACATTTTCTTGTGATAACTTTCTGTGAGTCAGCTTTTAGAGGTACCAAATTCTTCAGACATCTGGTTCCTATCACCACCACTGTGAACGATTCACTCTCAATGTTTCTCTAGAATGGGACATTTCACATCAAACCACTCTGAATGACTTAGGTTAAATCTTAAACATTTGGTTATACAGAAAAAACAAAACAATGAAATTCCCCTTAACGTAGCTGAATGAAAATATCTCAGTGATTTTTGTCTGCCATTGTCTTGCCAATATTCACATCTAAATACATCTTTTTGATTGAAAAACAATAAATAAACATTAAGACCCTGACCACACAACCATTTATATGCATTTTTGCTAGACAGTGTGAAACTGGAATGGCTACATAGTTTGTCACTGTTAAGTTCGTTTTTTTACTGTATGGCCTTTTTTAGAAACCCTGATCATCACAACAGCTGTCAGATTACTTGATTACTAATTTAATCAATGGTAACAGCTTTACAGGGAAGATTTTTCACTAACATCCTTTCAAGCAAAACATTCTGACTGCAGGATTTGTGATTTTACCTCATCATTGATCACCTCTGACTGCTCTTCTTCTTCCTCCTCATCCTCAATGTCCAGGTCATTTTGCCTCAGGTAGGTGAAGAGGGGCACACACGGCTTCTTCTTGAAGGCAATGTAGTCCATCATGTTGCCTTGCAGGTGCTGCAAGAAGAAAAGCTCAATCAGATACTCCCTGAAGACTTCTTTCAGGCCCTCCATCTTCTTCTCGTGGTGCTCCAGGCACTGCTTCCTCAGGCGAGCTACTTCAGGGTTGGGGGGCGCTATCTCCTCCAGCTTCTTTGGCTGGAGCTTCTTCACCGAGCAGACACCCGTAGGGGTGAGAGGAGGATTTGGGAGCGCCTGAGAAGAGCTGTTCCGAGATGGACTGGACGGAGGGACAGCCGAAGGAACACCGAAAGAGGCTGTCGCGGATGTGGCAACACCTGCTACCACACTTTGGGTGGTCTTGTCAAAAATCATGGGCCGCAGCTGGCCCTGGATGATGCTGCTGATTTGAGGAGGCAGATTAGAGGTGGTAATGTGACCAGGGCTGCCCAACGTTGGCAAAGCAGGTCCAGTCGCCACTGGGCTTTGTGGGCCGAGGTGATGGATGGTGCCACCGGTTTGAGAATGCGGCTGAGAGAGGCGTCTCTCTCTGACGGCCGCTTGCGTCCCAGGCGAAGCCAGCTGCACTGCTCCGGATGTGGTTGGAGCCAGCTGAGTCAAGCCTGGGTTCTCTTGGTAAACAAAATGCCCACTTCCTGGCGGGCTGCTGAGGTTAATTTGCCGGACCATGATACCAGCCTCGACAAAGCGTGTAGGGCTTTGCCCACAGACGCCCAGAGCAGTGCCTGGAGCGCCTGGCCTGGAGACGGCCTGCAGGGAAACCGGGCTGTGCTGGGTCGGACTCTGGGGCTGCAATGGCTGGGGCAGAGGTGACGTCACTTGGATGTACGAAGAAGATCCGTGTTCAAACCTCCATTGCGGGGCCTGGTGTTGGAAGCTAGGGGATGCTGGATTCTGTAGCGGCAGTGGGGTTAGTGTGATCTGTTGGTTCCCAGGAACCATAGTCCCCACGTTCTGTAACGTGATGTTCATGTTCTGTCCGGTGACAGGACTTCGGCTCATGATGATCTGATAGTTCGGAGACTGTGGGGCTGAGGGGCTCGCTGCTGGGGCGAAGGACGTCACCGGTGACTGGGGATGACTGGCAGGTGCTGGCTGTTGCTGAGTGACTGCGATTGGCTGCTGTTGCTGCTGCTGTTGATCCTCAGCCTCAGAACCTGTGAAGGATTTGGATCTCTGAACATTGCGCTGAACATTTGGTGGGCCTCCTCCATGGTGCATTGCGTGGCACTGTTACCGTGGTTACAGCAGCACGCTTGAAAGCAAAGGGAAAGAAAAGGCACAATTGAAGAGTTCCATTTAAACAGATATAAAATTGTATACAACTGTGGATATAACACATTCTGGAAAAGAATTACAGCTGACATATACTAGAACCCATTTTTACTGGTCTAATAATGGTGGGATTAACCATAACACAGCATTTATACCTCTTGTATATGTAAAACCAACTCCCAACAATATGTATGACAAAAAAAAAACCTTGAAAGTGGTCTACAAAGCACTTTAAAACGAAATCCCTCAACTGTAAGACAAAAAACGAACATGTTTAAGTAATATTACTGGTCACAGCAGCTCAAATAAATGTTTTACATTCAATGCAAATGCTACAGACCTTAGAATACCATAATTGTATATTTAATTTATATATCATTGCCAATTTAAACATTGGTGGTTACGTAGCTATAAGACTTTGAAGACATTAAATCGATCTGTCATCCGCGTTTGTAAGCTCCTGCCTCTTAATGTCTTATGCACAGCTCAACTCGTGTGGCACCTGAGCCCCATCATTAGCCAAAAATCAAGTTATGTCTAAGCTGAACCAGGTTTAGTAGGTGTGTTCGAGCGGCTGAAGCTCCACACCGAGCCGGACTCGGTCCCTCCTCCCCGGAGCGCAGCGCCGCCACTCCGCCTGCAAGGGCCCGGACTTCAGCGTTAGCCAGCAAGCTAACAGGAGGCCTATGTGTATGGGAATAGCCCGCTAGCTGGCATAAAAACATTAAAATCACGGTGTTCCGCTCGTTTTGGCTACAAAAAGTCTTTACCCAAAAGAACAAAACCATTAACGTTAGTTTTTTAGTCTTGAAGTCCTGCTCTAAACCGTCGTTATTCACCGTAACACACCGCATATCGCTGCATGAAAACACTCCGTAGTAAACACGAAGCTGAAGACAGCTTCATGTTCGATTTTCCCCGTTCCACCTTAAATGGTGCACTAGTTACACTGTGGTGCCCAGTGCGCCACAATGTAACTGCCGCACCGTTTAAGGTGGACCGGGTGAGTTCGAACAAGAAGCTGGCGAACAGGAAGCCTCGCGTAGTAAACACCCAATATTCGGCCGTACTTACATCCAGCGAAAGCGTGGGGCGGCTAACATCTACTGAAATGATCGTTTTTAACGTCTAACACAAAGAAATAAGAACTAAACCCTACAATCCCAAATAACCGGACTGGAACTCTAATAACCGCCCTCCGGACACCGAGCCGTTAGCTTCATGCTAACTATTTTTTTCTCATTCTTCTCGTCCTGTTACCCGGATGAGCTCAGTCGGCGAGGGCGGGATCTTGCGTTTGATTGACAGGAAAACAAAGCAATCAACGTGCGCGGAATTGAGGCTCTCAACCAATAAGATACAGAAATGGCCGAGACGTACAAAACATAAAACATATAAAAGTCTTTTACGAATATTACGTTAAAGGCACAACCTGCAAATAAACGGCTCTTTCTGTCAGTAATACAAATCATTTTTTAATGTGTTTTTACAATAAAGAAAACAATAGATAACATTAAAAATAATTAACTATAAAATAAATCTAAATATAAAAATATATAAAATATAAAATAAATCTAAATTCCATTCAAAATACCTTTCTAAACTAGTCATGATTATTTTTAAAGATTAATAAGTGTAAATAAACTACATATATGTATATATATATATAATATATATTTATATTAGGGGTGGGAATCTTTAGGCACCTCACGATTCGATTCGATTACGATTCAGAGGGCTGTGATGCGATTATAAAACGATTATCGATGCATCTCGATGCATCTTTTTTCTCTATACATGATTTCTATCTTCCCACTGTCTGAGGACTTGGTAGTTTTAAAGCAAAGTATTTGTAATGATCTATAATGTAAATGCATTTAATTAAAGTAAATGCTTTAATTATCTAAAATATCTTTTTTTAATAAATCAAATCGAAGTGATGTGGCAAGTGAACTAGAAGGCTCTCATTCAGAGACGCTGCTGCCACTCATCTGCGATAAAATGCGCTGTTGCCCTGAAATAAGATCCAGTGGCAATGGGTGTCCACGCAGCACGTTACAGCCACCCTTTTGGTCTCGTTGTAGAGAGTGGGGGGGTATTTTCGAGACTGGACGCTGAATCTCGGCTCCAAAGTGTGCAGCATAGCGCGAAAGCCCTGGTTCTCAAAGACTGAGAACAGACAGCAGGTCACATAGCCCCGAGGTCTGGCCTCACCAGTAGCGAACGAAAAAACAGATTAAGACGAACATTTGCAGAGCGAAGTAAATCTGCGCTCTCGTTTATCTTTTTAGCCCATACTAGGACATTAACACATACTGAGACATACTGGGCATTAAATGTTGTGGCTCCCAAGGTGGTTTGACTTCGTTGAAAGGCAAAATGTCTCTTCTTATCATTTGTGTTGTGACTCCTGATCTAACCTGGCTTTAATGCAGAGCCGGTCGGATTTCTCGCTCATCCAGCAGTGTTTTTGTTATGTGCCGCCACAGACTGTCCGGGCGCTGCACTTCCGCACTTCCAGTTCAGCCTTTTGCGTTCCGTCAACATTACGTTATAAATTAAATATTTAGAAAATCGATTTTTGACGTTGAATGAATCGATTCAGAATCGTTCACGTGCGCATCGCGATGCATCTAAGAATCGAGTTTTTCCCGCACCCCTAATATATATATATGAATTATTTTGGTTTTGTTTCATTATTAGAGATATTGAGCTTTACAACGTGAGCTAAGAGTTACTAAAACTCTAAACTATTACTGATATTATGTACTTATACTGATAAAAACTAGACATTTTGTAAGTTCTGTAATGAAAGAGGAGCTCTATCAATTAAAAAATCTGCATAAAACTGTTGGGTGAAATAATTCATTGTCAGTAACTTACCAACCAGAATTTCTTTACAGTAGTGGTGATAGGAACCAAGGGGTCATACACAATGCCTATATTTTTTTATGCTATCTATAATGACCAGTGAACCTACAGGTGTTTTTCTGAGTTTTTATGTGTAATGCTGATGATATTAAAATAGTGACAAATCTGAAAAAAAAAAGTTTCTTTAGGATCTATTTTGTCTTCTAATGCACTGCACATACCTCTCTGCCACTAAGATCTTCTCAAAACTGCTGTAAAACAATATCCCAGTATTTTTGCAGCAGAGTCCATCTTTAAAAGACTTTTTTTTTTTTAGAAAAAAATCACGTAATTCCCAAAGCAGATTTCTATATTAACAGTAAATTATACTTAAAGGCCAGGTAAAAATGAGACCAAACTTTATTTTGAGCATACACAGGCACTCACACACACACCTACAAGCTTTACAAACCTTGGTTTGATTTTGAGTTTTTTGGTAATGGACAAAAGACAACCATCAACACAACCATTACTGCAACATCACATATACAAAAAGTATTTCCATATTTTCTATAATCTCCCACAGTTTATAAAGTTTCATGTGCATTTGTTGTGCATAAATAAGGCCACTACTAACACAGGTGTAAACAAAAAGCAAACAAGAAGAAAAAACAAACAAACAAACACAAAAACACATGTACATTTGAAGACTTGCTCCATGACATTACCGAACACTCAGTCAATGGGAAAGCAAAAGCAGCACATAACAGATTAGCTAAAATAACTTGCACTGAAATATCTTGCAAACAATACAATAAATTAAATGGGGGGAAGGTGAACTCATTGTACAGAAGTTAGCCGCTACAGAGCAGGGACAACTCTTCTACAGCGGATTCATGTAGGCCTTCAGCGAGAATACTCAGTTATAAAGTGCTTAATTGTAAATACACATAATAATGGTACAGTAGTTAAAATGTTAAAGTACTTAAAATTCCAACAATAAGCATCAAGTATTGTTTCCATTTAACAAAGCACACAACAGGTCTATGAAAATGTGCTTTTGCTTGGTCTATTACTTACTGTCGCTGTCCAAAAAAACATATCTCCAAAATGGTAAATTACAGAGAGGGTAAAAACATCCTTTGCCTTTAATGTAAGTTAATGTAATGAGATTTGTAATTCCCGGACCGTATCTGTTGGTGCGTTTATCATGAAATTTTGACACGATGTAATAATGGAGATGCTTGGCTTTGGACATCAACATTATTAAAAGTGTAGGCTACAACTTGTTCTGTGTAACACTGACACAACATGACCCGTCTAACCATTCAGAAATCAACCAAAATAGCAGTTTAAATAGCTACACATTCCCTTTGAGTCCTCATAGGTCGCTATTATTCCCTCCAGCATCATGCAAAGACACGCTTTAGAAGCTAAAAAGGAAGTAGTCCGTATGCAACATGATGAGAAAGACAAAGAAATCATGACTTTGAATTCAATGAATATCTTTAGCATGACCTTAGCACGCTACCATGTGGTTTTCCAATAGTGCTGATCTTCAGCTCCATTCAGTGTAATTTACTTTGTTTTTTCAAGGTGAGAATCTACATTCACAGATAATGGTAAAATATGCTGAGTTCGCATCACGTTAGCATGTTCGTTTGTCAAAATAGAGGCTGATTGGATTCTTTGGGTCGAACCAAACAGTTCAGACAATACTAGGTCTACACTGTACATAGTGTGTTGAATCACTATGAGTCCTTAAAGCAGGTTTTCCTACTTCTCGCCACCTGTAATGACTTGTTGAAGTCTCACTTGCTTTGGCATTAGTGTGAGGCCCCTTTAGCATGTGAGTGAATCTGCCAGCTAGCAGAGCATCTGCTTCATCCCTGCTTTCTCTTTTCTTAGATCCACATAAGGCAAGGCGCAAGCGGTATCTAATACAGAAGAGAATGAAGTCTTGCGGTGATCACGCACAGAGTCCTGGCTGCAGGGAGAAGAGACGGCGCTCGATACACTGTTTACCTACACACAAAAACACACAGACACACACAGACACACACACACACACATGTACAATGGGGGGTTAGATTTATGCCTCCATTAGTGTACAAGTACACGATCAATAAGCATATACCAGAGGTGGGAACAAGTCACTAAGTTGCAAGTGTTCAGACTCAAGTCCCGAGTCAAGTCCCAAGTCAAGATAGTCAAGTCTTGATTCAAGTCTCGAGTCAGTGAAGGTGAGTCTCAAGTCAAATCCCAAGTCAGTAGTTCTTCATGTCCTGAACAAGACATATGCATTCATCAGCTAATTTAAGGCCATTTCAACACTGAATAATGGTAACAGTACTGTAGCCTTTCAATGACAGCACATTATCAGTGTATGGCTGTCTATTCATTTAATTAATAAGACATACTGTAAACACAAAGAGCAGTGCAACTACTCATGAAAAGAATTTTAGAAGTACTACTGAACTTTTATGAACTTAAAAAAAAAAAACTTTATATTTGAAGATAAATTTTGGGAACACTGGGTGCAAGTCTGAGACAGAGTCCGAGTCGCTGGTGTTGAAGGTCAAAGTCACGAGTCTTTCTTGATTTTCTCGAATCCAGTCTAAAGTCGTCAAATTCGTGACTCGAGTCCAAGTCATATGACTCGAGTCCACACCACTGGCATATACTACAAGCATATAAGTGTGCAATTTATAAGACGCAAACCCGAGTTTAAAGTCAGTGAGAAGTACAAAGCTTGGAATCACTGTTTTCAACAATATAAAACTAATTTGATACATTCTATAAAATGATTCTGGTATTATTTCAGTAAAATGAGGAAATATTAAACAAAGCTTCATAATACTGAGAATGAATGAGGATGTGAAGATTATATTAAAATGAATAACACAGAACACCCAGACAACTTTACAAGAAATGACTAAACAGACAGCTGTAGTATGTTATTGACATGATAACTACATATGATTTGATAACTTCTCATTCTTTCCAAACTACTTGAGCAAAAGATCTAAAATGCAGTACTCAGTGTCTGGTTTATAACAGTCTAATCTACACAGTATACTTTACTACTGATGTTAAAATTACAGCAATTATTAATAAGATGAGTGATTCCAAACTTTTTGACGATAACGAAATACTCACATTTGTTAATGTTGTTGAGGTCTGCACTCTCTGTAATGATTAGAGACAGGCCCTCCATCAGCAGTAAGGCTTTCTGATAGCGCTGAGCTGAGGCCTCGCCATGGTGGAACATTTCATCCAGAGCAGCAGCCTGCACCTGAGAACACATGAGGAGGACAGTGAGGCTCAGTGGACACACAAATGTATGTAGTTACGTTACTTATTAAGTTACATTAAGAGACGTTAAGATGGGAA